TTACAAGCTAACCGTCAATCTATATTTACAACTTAAGGACCTTTTGCTTGGCCTCCAAGTAAATCATGGTGGATCATAGATCCTCTTGGTCTGACTCGAAGGTTCCAGACGCAGATTCTGTTTTGACAGCTCAGCAAGAACGTCTGCAAGTTGCTGAGGTTTGTTATGCTGCAACTCATGCTCTGCGTTTCCAGATGAAGCTGAGTAGGAAGATGAAACGGTGCCGTCTCCTTCTCCTGCTTTATTTGAATTTGAATCTCCCGCTTCATTTGAATTTGGAAGGCGATGACAACTGTTTGCTTGATACTTCAACATAATGCATCCTTGGCAGTGATAGATGAGGTGAAAATTTTTAATCCGTCAGTCGATTTTTTGTCAAATTTGGCATTTACAACTGACCCGTGGATTAGTTGGAGCTGACAGGATTTATATTGGCTGTCAATGACTCCCATTTCGAGTATATCTTTTTCTTTTGCTATTCTTTCACGGAACAAAATAGCCTCTAAAAGTAATTAAGAGAACAAAGAGGCTGTTATTTATGGAAAAGAGCAAGGAATAAATCCCAACCCATGTGAAAAGAGGCAGTGAACAAACAACATTTGTACCAAACGAATCTCATGATATTTAGACTGAAAGAACAACAATTAGGAGGAGGTGCTGCACCTTTTAATGGAAAATTCATGAGCAACAAATTCATATCAGAGAGAATTGACAACGAAAGCATATTTCCATGTACATTTGACTCTTTTGTTCAGCTAGTTGTAATTTAAAAGAGGAAAGCTGTGACTCTCAAGAGAGAAAAGTTCTCTGGAAGACTTATAGTGAGATGAGTTTCTTTTGGTTTAGTACATGTTGCAGAATAGGCTTTTGCTTCATGATGGTCAATTTGATCAGATCAATGAAGCAATATCGTTATCTCGTTTGGAATTATGGATATGATCTTTAATTTCCAGCTACAAGATCGGTCAATTCCGGGCTCCCTTGAATTCCTTGCTAAATCAATGCATGGAAAAGTCCACTATTGTTTTGTTGTCTTCTTTATGTGGAAGTCAATCTTTTGCCGTCTCCTGTATACATTTTGAGGCCCCAAAAAATGGACCAATTCCATTTCTTATTCTTACGAACAAATACAAGATTCGTCACTCCAAAAAGGATAATGGTAATCCCACCAGTAATTACTTCATTTACAAGAGTACTTCCTTGTCTTGCATCTCCTCCAAATGTTCTAGTTGGATGACAGACACTAATAGTATTGATATGAAATATAGCTGAGGATGTACTCTTTTAACATTGTAAATCACTAATTAATTTGGACTAAAGTATATATATGGTCACTGACTTTCTTGTTGCAGCAATGTTTGTTTGCCATAGTTCAGCTAGAAAGTGGGTTTTTCTATGACTCAATTTGATGCCCTCAAATTAGTAGGCACAAAAAACAAATAGGTAAACATGTACGTAGAAAATAGAAAATAGGTCTTTTAGTATTTTTTCTGACAAAAAAAAAATTTAAAATAAATTATCAATCACAATGTAGAACAAGAGATTAGTTAATTATTATGATCCCAGATGTCTGGGGGAAATTTGCTTCATTATATTTCTTCTTTGTTATTAATATAGTAAATTGAATGGTGTGGAAGATAAAAAATAAGGGATGAATGAATATGGGCTACAGGGAAGGTGAGCACATTTTTTTGATAGATGATTGGAGATAGCTTGAATCTTATTTTAATATTGTTAATTTTGGTCGCTTTAAAAGAATATGGTGAAGCCTTTTTTTGTTATATATGATACAACTTGTATTAAAAAATGATTGTCCAGTTTAAATTTCATAATTTAAACTAAAAACAAAAATCTAAACTGGAGAATCATTTCGGGACGAAGAGAGTAGTATACAAGTAGTATAATGATTATTGAGGAAGATAAAATCTGGAATTAAAATGTTTCATGATTATTTGGAAGGCTTAACAAGATTTTGATTTTTTTATTCAAGAGCTTTTACTTTAATTTCATAATGTTTATAAATTGTTTGACTATGGTTGCTTAGCTACTTTATAGTTCTTAGTTTGGTAATAGTCCATAGCCCTACCACAATAATTCAAATCAATTAAATGGTGTAAATGTTTTATGGCAAGCACCCTAGCTCGAATCTATTGATTAATGTAGTAGTTTCGGACACTCTAGTTCTAGTTTCATAGTAATCGACAAACATGTCTTTTTCAAATCCGAATTATTTGAGACAGTAAATTCAGATATTGGGATCAAATCTATATAAATCGGTGTGGCGTACACAGATTGAAACTACAACAACATTGCCTCCTTCCCTCACCTACTACCATTTCCACGACCGCGAATTTTCATCTTTCGGTCACCGTATTTAAACCAAACCAAACCGTCTGTAACCCTTTCTTTATCGCGATTAAAACCAACCGCGGTAGCTTAGGTGAAAGGTAATAATTTGCAAATCATTAAGATCGTCATACTTTTGACTAAAAAGGTTTTAATTCAACATTAATATAAGTAGCTCTCTCGAATTTGTGAAAAGTACAATTAATACAAGGAAATCAGATTTCGGAAATCCAAAAGTCCAAATCTAGCCAAAATAATACTTCAAAGATAGAGACACAACATTCGGATTTGCCAACTATGAATTTACCTACATCTAGATTTGGCAAATCTGAAAGTACAACTTTTGTCCACAATAAAAAGAGAAAATTAGTTCCGTCCAGTCTGATTTTAAAAAAATATATATTTTGGTAAAAAAACTCCCATTGGAATACACCTTTTCAACTTTCAAACACATATTTTCATTTTTGTTTGTTTGTTTTATTTAGACATATCCAACCATTTTTTTCCCTCAAAATACCTTCAACGCACACTCAAAAAGTCTACATAATAAAATCTCAGCCATAATAATTTTATAAATTTAAATATTACACACTATTATCCTAACCAAAAAAAAGGTACTACAACATGCCATTTCTATATTTCACCTAAATTAGAGTTTAAAAATTGTGTGTTAAAAATCTTTGGCACATCAAAGACCTCATAGGAAAATATATAAATAAAACCACTTTATTTTTCTCTTGTTACATCTCCCATATTAGTCCAAAACTGCATCCCACCACATACAAATTCCCTCCCCCTTCATTGTTTGTCATTTTTTATTATCTTTCTGTCTCTCAGAATTAATTTTGTTGTTTTACTACTCTTCGCAATCATCAAATTAATCCAATGAAAATTGAAGTCAGATTTATGCACGGAAGATGCCCGATTAAAAATGCACACTTAATCAGGTACATTTGTTACTGTCTCAATTCCAATTTTTACTGACATGATAAATTGATTAAGAATAGATGAAATCGAATTTGTGCACCTGTCAACTGCATTAGTATTGTAGCTAGATCATCATCATTCATTTGAAACAAATGTGAAAATATGGTGTTTATCTTCAAGTAGAGGAAATGTATATCAACAAAATTCCTGTACGTAGTAATGCATCTTTGGCGATGATGAGGTGAAAAGTTTTAATCACTCTATCGATTTTCTACCAAATTAATTTGGCATTTGCAACTTACCTATGGATTAATTAGTAGGACTTGACAGGATTCATATATTGTGTGACAAGGACTTCAATTTAAAGTATATCTTTTTTTTTTTGGTGGCTATTCTTACATGTTCAAGGAACAAAATAGCCGTCAAAAGTAATAGAAACAAAGAAGTTATTGAATGAAAAGAGCATGGAATAGATCCCAACTTATGTGAAAAAAAAGGCAGTCAACAACCAACTTTTACACCAAACGGATCCCATGATATTTAGACTTAAAGAAAGCAAGAATTAGGAGGAGGAGCTGCACCTTTTAATGGAAAATTCATGAGCAACAAATTCGTATAGGAGAGAATTGACAACAAAACGATATTTCCATGTACATATATGACTCTTTTGTTCAGCAAGTTGTATTTAAAGAGGAAAGCTGTGACTCTCAAGAGAGAAATGTTCCCTAGAAGACTTATAGTGAAGAGAATTTCTTTTAGTTTAGTCCATGTTGCAGAAAAGCCTTTTCCTTCACGCACGGGTCATTTGACTCGATCACTGAAGTAGTTAGCATTACCTCTTTTGGAATTATGGATATGATCGTTAAATTTCCCGTTACAAATTCGGTCAATTCAAACCTCACTTGAGTTCCTTGCAAAAATTAATGCATGACAAAGTCCACCAATGTTTTTATATCTTCTGAATAGGGCACTTCCTTGTCTCACATCTCCTCCAAATGTCCAAATTCGATGACGGACACTGTTAGTATCGATATGAAATATATCACTTCTCCCTGTTCTCATATACGTCTCCCCGCATTCATTGCTCATTTCTGACCGTATTGTTAACTACCAACCTCCTGCATCCCTAGACCTCATCATCTTCTTGTCATCTTTCAAGCTGATTTACAGCACCGAAGTTGTTGAAGGTTGCATAGTGGGTAGCGTATTTTCTTGTTTTCTTGAGGTCGTAGCTAAAATTATTGCATCCTTGTATATAATTTCTCCACTGAGGAAACTTCCAAGTTAAATTCGTGAGAAAACTTGATTCCGGTCAAGACATCTGAGGAAGGCGAAATCTGACCGGTGATTGATATTGGTGTCTCCAATGCTAAACCCTAAACAAGAAGACTAAGTCCCAGCTCACCGGTGGTTAGCATTCCGATCTAAACTAATGGTTTGGAACAAATATTCTTAAATCTTTGGTTTAATTTAAAGTTCTTCTGACATCTACATATATTGTAATATCATTTATTTATCACTGAAGGTGTATCATAGGTTTAGCCAATATGTCAAATCTACTTGAAAAGTTGTTTCATTAGAGGATCTTCTAGAACTTGGGAGATTGATCATATAATTCTCGTGTTCAAAAGAGAAAAACTTCCTCAAAAGTAGAAAAAATTGTAGGTTATTGTTCATTCAAACAAGCTCACAAAAGATATTGAAATATCCACCACGATCGATCCTACCATAATTGGACGCCTCCCAATTGCTATCTCTTCTTTCCTCTCCTTCACACATTCCTCATTGATGTCACAAGACCTGCTCAATTCTAAATAGAACAACTGCAAAATGCAACCTTTTGCCAAAGCATTGGTGGCTGAGAAGTGCAAAACGAAAACATTGTACGAGTAAATTTGGTGTCTTAGAAGGCCGCATTCGCCAAAGAATGCCAGTGATGCTTTCCTTAGAGATTGCATGAGATTATTACACTCAGCCGCCAAATCAATCTCATCACTCTCCCTCATACCTCCTTAGAGATGCTTTCAACTATATTGACACAGAGATAGAGAAATCACCAATATATCCTCAAATACTACCATAAAAAACACCAGCACAAAATACAAGCATTTTTCTTTTCACACAAGCAAAAAAATCGGCTATGGGCCAAAAATTTAGAACCAATGTAATCATTCAACAAGGGTTTCACCATGAAATTCCCTTGAACAAATGAAAAAGAAAATACACAAACATATATTCTTAAGCCCTTTTCTCACTAGCAATTTCGTGAAAATTTGACAAGAAATACTAACTTTTTATTAAAAAAAAAAAATTTCTAAATCAGCTAAAAATGTGGTGATCATACAAATAAGGACAAAAATTTCAAGCTAGTAGAAAATGATTCTCACACCCATTGATGAACTCTACCCAAATGCATGCCAAAATTTTAGAGCCAACGTAATCATCCAACGAGGGTTTCACCATACGATTTCCTGAGCAAATGAAATAAAAAGTATGCACACATGGATTCTTAAGCCCTTTACCCACAGGCAAAGGTGGGAAAAATTCACCCGAAAAGATACAAAAATTGAGATAAAAAAAGAAGAAGGTATAAATCAGCTATAAATGTGGTGAACGTAAAAACTAAGCACAACAATTGCACGCTAGTAAAAAATGGTTCTCACACCAACGAAGTGATGAACACTACCCAAAGGGATTAATCCCCCCCAATTAATCCAAATGAGATAGAAACATACGAAAATTGAGATTCGTAAGTTTCAGACATCATAAAACACATGCCATGCGAAACTAGATTCAAAACTTTCAAGGGTGCAAGCCCTTTCTAAATTGGCAATCCCAGAAATATGCCCCGATTGAAAAAATAATAAAAAACATGAAGCATAAATCAGCTCAACAACGTAATCATCGAAACAGTGAAAGAAAAAAAAACCGTGTTCTTTGTGTTGTTTGTTTTACGGTTTATCAACTGAAGATTATACCTACATTTTGTTTTCTTCTTTTTTGGGGTTTCAGTCCTTTTTTTGCACACACCACACCAAAACAAGCACACATCGGAGACTGGTCCTTAATTCAGCCGTCCCCGGTCGGATCTTTGGGTTTTCTTTTTTGGGGTTTCAGTCCTTTTTTCCTCTCTGTTTTTCAGGTGGTAATATATATCGCCAGTTAGAGCAAACCTCTGATTCATTTGGGGGCAAGAATGATCATTAATTTGCTTGAATGTCTCGTGCTTGTTTACCTGTGTGATCTCGTTACATGAAGCATAAATCAGCTCAACAACGTAATCATCGAAACAGTGAAAGGGCAGAAAAAGATCAAGACCGCTAGAATAAACCCTAAACCCTAAACCCTAAACCCTAAACCCTAAACTCTAAACCCTAAACCCGATTAAAAAAAATAAATAAAAAACATGAAGCATAAATCAGCTCAACAATGTATGTAACGAGATCACACAGGTAAACAAGCACGAGACATTCAAGCAAATTAATGAAAAATCATTCTTGCCCCCAAATGAATCAGAGGTTTGCTCTAACTGGCGATATATATTACCACCTGAAAAGCAGAGAGGAAAAAAGGACTGAAACCCCAAAAAAGAAAACCCAAAGATCCGACCGGGGACGGCTGAATTAAGGACCAGTCTCCGATGTGTGCTTGTTTTGGTGTGGTGTGTGCAAAAAAAGGACTGAAACCCCAAAAAAGAAGAAAACAAAATGTAGGTATAATCTTCAGTTGATAAACCGTAAAACAAACAACACAAAGAACACGGTTTTTTTTTCTTTCACTGTTTCGATGATTTCGAAGAAGAAGAAGAATGATTAAACTGATGTAGTAACAAATATCTTCTTCAGTGTTTTTGGGCAGTGCGGTCCGAGAATATTGAAAAGAGTGGGAGTTGGTGCATGTGAAACGTCTATTTTACCCTCTGGAATGTCTTTGTAATAAATTGGAATTATCAGATTTATGCATTTTTGTGTACGAAAACGTTATGTTTTTTATGATTGATGATTTGAGCTGAGCAAAAAGAATTGAAAAATTGAAATTTTTGGTCAAAGAATGCGATTTTTCCTTTTTTGTTTGGCTGAATTTCAAAATTTGAAATGTTTCCAAGAACAGAAAAGAAAGGAAAATAAAAAAAAGCGGCCAAACATTAGACATTAAAAAAATAGTCGTGTTAAAGGCCGCCAAGAAAAAGATAAAGACCACCGTAAAAAACACAATTCTGCTCTTTTTTACTTGTTCATTCTAAAATAAGTGATTTTTTCATTTTTAGGCCTTTTTCTGCCCTTTTTATTTTTTTTTATTCTAGCGGTCTTGATCTTTTTCCTGACGGCCTTTAAACTTCCAGTAAAAAAACAGAAGAAACAGAAGAGTCCTATATGCCAATTCAATTCTAGCATTCAAAGGTCAAACATAAATTTAAAATGGGCATATTGGACTCTGCCGACTTTCTCGTCAGTGTTGCTAAGTGGACGGTAGAGTCGGCACTAAAACTTTTTAACCAGCAAATTAAAAAATAAAAATACAAAAACCATCTGATGCCCTTTCAATTGATGATGATAAATAATAAAAAAAATCCATGAAACACAAAATCAATGATAGAAGTTATGCATTTGGTTATGGGATCGCATATAGTTTTTAGTCAACCTCTAAAATCCGAAGACAAAGATACAAATGAGTGAACTATACTCTGTGGACTTTATGTGTTAACCAGTCAATCACATAGAATTTCATATAGTTATAAAATTTGAAGAAGATAACATACTATATTCAATATTATCTCTGGACCTGTCAACTGTTTCGTTATTTTTCAAAATAATACGTGAAATATATGTGATTATTTAATTTACGTGCATTATCTGGACAATATTTCATGGCTAATGAAGTTACGGAATTGATGCAAGTTTCATACGATGGGTGGACGGGGAGAAAATTTGATATATATGATAATGTTCTTTTCTTTGTTTATGTAGACCATAATTAAGTTAAATATTGAGGAAGATAAAAAAACAAGGGATTCAGGAATGTAGAGATTTTGATAATTAATTGACTAGCTTGAATCTCTTGTTACATTCTCGTTTTTGTTTCCTTGTCCTTCTCTTCAACTCTCTAAACTTCATTTTCTTCATCCCTATTAATAATTCCACCACTGATTGTCACGATTATAGATTTGGAAGGAGGAAAATATTGTGGAAAGTGTTTTTTCCTTTTTGCAGAAGAGGACTAATTGATGTATCTCCAAAATGTTCATAGGTCCTATCACATTTTCCATGGCAATCCCAATTTCAAATAAGAAATAAAGTGTAGACAGCAGGACGGAAGCCTATGGGAAATCTTAGAATCAGAAAAGCCAGAGACTCTTGAGTTTGTTGATAAGATGGGTTTTGGCCTGCTTAGGCATATCGGGTGTATATTCCTTAACTGGGCCCTGATTACTACTCTGGTCGAGCGATGGCGTCCAAAGAGCCATACTTTCTATTTCCCATAGGTGAGGCGACCATTACCCTTCAGGATGTAGAGGTCATTCTAAGCCTTATGGTGGATGGGGAGCCGATTACTGGATCTGAGGTCGAGCCTAAAAATAAGTTACGGGGTCCATATTTTTGTGGTTGTTCAGATTTTGCCCCTGTGAGGCCCATGTGTTAGACAGAAAACTCTATATCACTGATCTGTACACTCACTTGAATAATGTCATATCTCCGACGGCATCAACGAAGGAACACCTACAGGCCCGTTGTATAGTGGCATGTATGTTAGGAGGTTTCCTGTTCCCTAACTCAAATAGGGACCGTATCCCGTTTCTTTTGGTACGCCCACTAGCAGACGTTGAGAGTTGTGCACAACTAAGTTGGGGGAGCACCGTGCTAGGCTACTTGTATAGAGAGTTGTGCAAAGCTTCAATGGAAAAGGCGAAATCCATATACGGATGTTTGCTACTCGTATAGGTATATCTACTACATAATATCTCGTGATTTTATGTGATTTTCTTAAAAAACTTAATATTATAATATAATATCTTTATTTGGACAGCTTTGAGCTTGGGAGAGGATTAAGAATATCCAGCCAAAATTACGATGTCTAGAGCCACGAGACCTTAGGGAATATCCCCTTACCAGAAAGTAAGTATCATTTCAATAAATTGCATTCATATTCTATATAGTGTAGATTGACTACTTTGACGCTATATTAACAATGCAAGTGGAGATGTCCCAGAGTTGTTAAGAATATCACGAGGAATAATCTGCTTGCTTATAGGGACTAGTTTGCTGTTCTTCAGGACTTGGAGGTAAACATTCGTACCACATAAGCTTTCCTTGTTATTATTATTATTATTATTATTATTATTATTATTATTATTATTATTATTATTATTATTTATATAAAAAGGTTTTTTGTAATCTGATATTTTTCTGTTAATCCATTTTTTGTAACACTACATTTTCATTTTTCAGTTTGTGTGGTTGCTGTATTCACCCACTGTTTTCAATATTAAAATTATTCACCCATCTTGCCTTGTCGGCCATCACATCTGGAGATCGGAGACCTATCTGATCTTTTGTAATGTCATTGAGGCACACATTCCTGGTCGGGTTATGAGGCAATTTGGGTTCAAACAGGGCATACCCGATGGTAATTTGCTTATGGCAAAGAACCCTTACTGAATCTGCACAAGATAGGGTGGCATGGCAAAGACAAAGGATTGGAAAGATGTTCACAAGGACCATGTCCAGGTTTGGGAAGATAGAGCTAGTCACATTGTTTGGAGCTCTAATGATTGCATTGGCATCTCCGCGATAGATGACGAGTACTTTCCATGGTACCAGCTCAAGAATGTGGCATTTGTTATGAACCCTAGAAAGAGGCATACAAAGGGTTTCCAGGGAGCGGCAGAGGCGTATCACGTTATGGTGAGTGTTCTTACTTTGTTTCCTCTTAGATTTTTTTTATATAATATTTTTTAAACCTATGATTTTATATTTTGGTATAAATGTGCAGGCCAATTTAGTCACCGATATTAAGAGAATGAGTCTCCTTGGCATGAGTGATTGCACCGACCCTAAGTCTTCTGCTCATATAACGTTCAACTAGATCGGAAAAACTGCTGATCGAGCCTTGTCATTGTCGAGGACCCAGTGTTGGGTACTCCCAAGCGAACGTGAGAGTCAGATTTTTGTCGATGCAAATCCGACTCAGGAATATCAGCCACCTGTGGTTCGTCAGCGTGCGCCTCCTAGGCAGGGAGTCTGGAGAGGTGGGAGGCAGCCCAGACTTAGGTCCACTCATGATCAGGGCGGGTCATCAGCACAGCCCCAGCAGCAGGCCGGGTCAGCATCACAGCCCCACCAGAGTCTGTATCGTCCTATTTTTGAGGAAAATCATACGCCATACAGTCTTACTTTTTCGCCGCAGCACCAGACTCAGCCGGATTTTGGTGATCGATTTCTTGCTTCGGGCATGTCAGACCAGGGCTAACTTTCTCAGGAGGCGTTTCAGTTCCAAAGCCAGATATTTTTAGGTTCTGGGTTTGATGTTGCTGTGGGGCGGCATTGTTTTGAGGACCAAGCTAGAGATCAGACTCAGCAGTATCAGGCTGGAGATCAGGCTCATGCCATGCATTTGGATCATACTGATGTTGAGGTATATTTTATTCATTCGATAAATCAATAATACGGATAAATTAATATTTTATTATTTTATCAACTAGTTTTTTTAAAAAAAATTTATTCATAGAGATTGTTAATTTATATAGAATTAATTGATAGAGGTTCTCTTATACAGGGTTCAGACCTTGCGGGTCAACAAGCATGCAAGGAGAAAGGACCGCGTCATAACTTACCTTTTACACCATTGGCTTTGGGTAGGGAGCCGAGAGTAATATAGGTCCATGCAAAGCTTGCTAGTTGCGGATCCGTTGAAGATAACCCTAATGGTAAAATGGGCAAGGGCAAGAAGCGCAAGTAGCGTTTGTGTAGCGTTATGACTTGTAGATTTGTGTAGCATTATGACTTGTAGTATTTGGTGTTTTGTTATGTTTTGCACTAATTTGATATCTTGGCTTGAGTACTTTGGTTATATTGTGGACCAATAATTTATCAAGCACAACATTTCCTAGTTTGGCACCAATCTAATTTCCTACCTCAAGTATTAGCAACAATTATAATTGGAAAACTATATAAACATTCGCATAATTTCTAAAAATTATTTTTCCTTTTATCAAGTTTAATGTCAACAAATAATAAATTATCATAATTTTACGAAAACTTACGTATTTTTCCTTATTTATGAGTTTAGATCAATTATTCTTTCTTGAAATTAATATTTTTAGTGCGTCCTTTTTCGGTTACTCTCTTTAATTTTTTTTTTCATGTATCCTCAACATTTTAAGTTTATAAATATTTATTATCCTTTTAATTTAATTCTTAAATTTTTATATCAATTTTTTTAACATTTATAATCGCAACAATCAATTTATACACTAAAATGTGCGTAACATATCTCTATATATATTAAAGGAGAGTCTTCAATTAGACACATGGCATAAAATAAGACATGCTAATCCACATGGCAAAAAATTAGATAGCTAAGTCTACATGTCGCAACCACATCACTCCGTCATTTAATGGTAATTTTTTCTTAACTGTGAAAATTGGTAAAAATTCGTAGAAAAAAACTCCGTAAATAGTTAGTTACCAAATGTAAAATATATTTTATTCGGCAAATTAGGAAACAAAGACTTCTTTTTCGCCCAATACCCAAAAAAAAAAAATTGCATTCAAACTCTAATTCACTGATGATTTGGCCAACATAGTCCACCAAAATTTTTTCCCTATTTTACGTCGGGCACATTTTTGTCTTTGGCATTACTTATTAGTTTCAAATGTAAGAATGATTGTAAAAGTTAATTGAGAACTCAAAAAAAATCAAATCAAACATTTTCTCTAAAAAAAATAACTTTTTCTTATTATTTGATAATTGTCAAGATTGACCAAAAATAATTTTTTGACAATTTCTTAAAAAACAATGTTTTTTCTTAATCAAATGAGAATTGCAATAGTAACAAATGTTGTAATTATTAATGGGGGATTACCCTTTAGTGGTAACTTTTAATGATAGAAAAGAAAGGTGACCCAAAAAACACTTCAAATCCAAAGATACCCAATTGAAATAAGAAATAAAAAAAAACTAATATGATGTAAAAAAAAAAGAATCCAGCGGCCATGATGAGAAAAACCAATTCACCGATTAATATTAGTTTCTATTGTCATGTGTTATAAGGTGTAACCATTCACCGGATCTTTTCCCTTTTTTTATTAGTTAGTGTATTGGTTTTTATTTCAGTTGGTGGTGCTTTGATTGTAAAGCTTTTTCAATGGTAATATATCTTTGCCCCTTAACAGGAAATACTAAGAAATGATTATTGTTAAAAATGTTGTATGAAAATTACAAAAGAAAAACATTAAAATAATAATATTAATAATATCATTTTATATTAATCGACCAAACTAAATTAGTGTAAAATATAATATAGTATAATATATTGTAAAATAATATAATGAATGATTACTAATTAATTAATAGAATAATATAACATATGCATTATATTTTTTCATATGATATAATGGTATACAGAGTTAACGTTATAATGATAAAATAAAATGTAAAGATCAATAGTGAAAAAGCTTTCTAAAATGAAAAAAGGAAAACAAATATCTTCGTGAGAGGCAAACAGTAACATATTGAGAAATTGATAATAATTATATGAAGGAAAAGAATTATGTAGAGAATAAGAAAATATAACAAACTGAGATGATAGTGAAAATTAAACAATTATTACAAATTTTTCAAGAAATAAAACTTCAAAGAAAGGTTATCAAATTTAGGAAAAAAAAAAAAGAAAGGTGAAGACTATACAACCAAAAAAAGATGCAACGACCATGATGAGAAAAATCAGTTTACCTATCAATATTGATTTCTATAATTATGTATTTAAAGTGTAACCATTAATCGGGTTTTTTCTTTATTATTGATTAGTGTATTGGTTTTTATTTTAGTTGGTAGGTGCTTTGATTAAAATTTTTTTAATGGTAATATAGTTTTTGCCCGGGCAATACGAATAAACGATTAATGTTGATTACCTTGTGTAAAAATTAGGGAAAAAATAATAAAAATACTAATAATAGAATTAAAACCGGCCACACTTTTAATAATATAAATAATATATCATATTACATATAATATAATATATTATAAATTAATATAATAAAATGATTACAAATAAATTAATATAATAATATAACATATTCAGTATATTTTTTTTCTATATGATATAATGGTAGAAAAATTTTACGTTATGATGATCAAACAAAGCGTAGAGATCATAGGGAGAAAGTTTTCTAAAATGAGAAAAAGAAAAAAAAGCCTTTGTGAAAAATAAACAGTAGAAGAAACGTATATTGAGAAATTGAAAATAATTATATGGAGAAGAAAATTATGTAGTGAATAAGAAATTAAATAATTGTTTTTTTTTTTTACGGAAATGAAGTTTTAAAGTGGTGAGAAATATGCAAACAAGAAAAAAAAATGAAATAAACACTATATTATAGTAAAATATACGAACAAACTTCTAAAGAAGGTTATAAATGGTATATAGAGAGATGGAAATTAAAGATGAGTTTATGGAAAAAAAAAATAATAATGAGCAACATTAGAGGGAGGGTTCAAATGATATGAAAAGTGTAGACATATTTAGAGAAATCATTATGAAAAATTATGAGAATATTTTTAAAAGATATAAAATCATAAGTCAACAAAACAAAGAAGATGGGCAGCAAGTTACATTGGATATTTTAGAATATTGAAAATTATTTCAAATGTACTTAAAATAACAAAATACATTGACACTAAAAATTGCAGATTTCAAATTATCTCATTAATATTGTATTTTTACATACATCATTCTGTCAGAAAACATCATCTAATTGTTAAATTATTTATCTCATATATATCTTGAACAATCCTAGCAACGTGCGGGGTAAACACTAGTTATAATATATAGCAGTAAAATATTTTCGCTCACAAAATAATTAATTATATTTTATTATTTCTTATTATTCTCACAAATTTAATAAATCCACATTGAAAAGTTTGTAACATCAAATATTCAAATCAGCATTACAAAATTACAGTAATACAGAAAACAGCAACCGAGTATTGCGGTTATAGTATTTCTGCATATCTTGTTTGCGGTTTTTTATTTATTCAGATTTATTAGAGTTAAGTAATTAATAATTTAACGCATCAAAGAAAACCGCATTGGCGGTTTGCGGTTTATCAAAACCGTGCACACTGTTTGCGGTTTGTATTTATTTCCGCATTTTTTGTGCGCGATTTTGTTATAAAACCGCATATCTGGTTTGCGGTAAAGCTATCTGCGTCCACATTGCTTTTCATGGGACCTTGTGTGTCCAGCATTAGAGTTTTCAGGTAAAAAAATCTACCGAACCTGGGTGCCCTACCCTTCCCAAGTCTTCCAATACTTACCTTATGGATGATGACGTTGATGATTGGTTGCGATTAAAATGCACCTTTATAAAACTCTTGCTACCAATCAAAGATCACCATGATTTCGAAACCAACCTAAGCTCCCACAGTGACTTCGCGGGGAGTCTCATCAACACTCGGGCTAACACATCTTCAAGAAGCTCACTGATCATCATCTCTTCTTCGTTAGATTGATTTTCAGGTGATTTCCGCCCATGAGTTGATGTTCATGTTGTACGATATGTATGATGAATAGGGTTATTTGGAAATCAAGAATATATATCTAGGCAGACAGGACCTTTCTTTAAAATTTATGGGAAAGGCCCGATGTATAGGGCATGCATGATGGGCCTATGCGGGCAGCGGCATGGCGGGAAGAGATTGAAATAGAGAATTAAGCAACCAAAGAGGTTGTGGTGGAGTGAAAGGGACTCCTCCACCCTTAATTATTGGTCGAGGGTTCGAACCTCGCCATGGACATGGAACAACCTTAAATACTTTGGCCAGCTGTCCCACTCATCGAGGTGCCTACAATTCGGCGAGGGAAATTAGTCACTGTTACTGATGGTAGACACCCTGCAAATATGGAAAAAAAAAAATAGAGAATTAAGACCATTGTAGACAGCTCGACGGGACGTAAAGGATGGATGGCGCTCAAGATCAATATAAAGAAACACTTTCCACACTTTCCATAGGGATGAAGAAATGAAGTCTAGAGAGTTGAAGAGAGAAGGACAATGTAACGAAAACGACAATGTAATGAGAGATTCAAGCTATTCAATTAATTATCAAAATCTCTACCTTTCTGAATCCCTAATTTTTTATCTTCCTCGATATTCAACTTAATTATCTACATAAACAAAGTAAAGAACATTATCAGATGTATCAAATTTTCTCCCTTTCCACCCATCATATGAAATTTGCATCAATTCCGTAAATTATATAACCGTGGAATATTGTCCGGTCAACGTAAATTAAATAATTACCTATATGTTTTCCAATCACGTATTATCTTGGATTAAGAAAAAAATAACGAAACAGTCGACAGGTCTAGATATAATACGGATTATAGTATATGTTATGTTTTATGTTCTTGAAATTTTATAACCTTGTGAAACTCTATACATATGGTTGACAGATGAATAGATAGTAATATGTACAGATTATGATACACTCATTTGCATCTTTGTCTTCGGATTTTACAAGTTGACTAGAAACAATATGCGATCTCATAACTCATTGCATAACTTTTACCATTGATTTTATGTTTCCATGGATTGTTTGTTGATTTATCATTATCAATTGAAAAGGCATCGGATGGTTTTTGTAATTTTTTTTATTTTTGGTTAAAAATTTTTAATGACGGCTCAACTTTCCAATTACCAAGGCCGACGATAAAGTCGACAGAGTGCAAAATTTTTTTTAAAATGTTATTATTATTTTCTTAGTTTGCAAAAGTACTATTGTTTCTCCTTATAAAAGTTTAAAATTTTAAAGAACCTTTATATGAACTATAAAGTTATAATTTTCACAAGAAAAAAACTTCTTTATCACTTATTTGTCTGCATGAAAAATTCGACCAAAAATGTCTACTGTCCTGCCATAGACTTTCTAACCTAAAAATTATTTGATAATATATTATTGTTTGGATATTAATCAATTTCAATTTCAATTGAAAAATTCTGGAATTTTATTGAATTTTTACAGAAAATGAAGCTTTTGAATTTTTATTACATGTACTATGATTTTTCATTAAAATGAAAACAAAACGATTCTCTGGTTCTAGGGATAACACGGAATGTAGTAAACTATCGTGTTGAGTTTTATTCTCGGTGTGAAAATCGACATAATCCCAAACTGATATAACGCATTTTATATCATCTTTGTCGTCATTTTACGCAAGCTGCCTAAAAACTTGACATGATCCGAGAACCTATATAAATATTCTATTAATTTTTTATTCATTATTGAAATATGTGTGTATTTAGTTATTTGCTGATTTATCTAAACATGACATACATACAGTATAATAATATTATCGCGTCTACTTTTCATAACTAATGCAAAATGTATCCAGAATCGGTATAGCATAATCCTAAAGTTTTGTTGTCAATTTTTATTAGTCGAATAAAAAATAAACACCACGGAAAGATCTATTTAAAAATTTAACCATTGTTGTTTTTTTTAATTGAAAAATAGAAGAAAAAAAAAAAGTAACGCTGTAACGGCTTTCCCAGATAATATACAACGGAGCCAAAGTTTATAAAGAAAACGTTTGACCTCTGAAGTCTGAAATTGAATTGGCACATTCTGTTTCTTCCGTTTTCTCAATTCGTAACGTTTGGCCGCTTTTTTTTTTTTTTGATTTTCTTTTCTTCTATTTTTGGAAACATTTCAAATTTTCTGAAAACGAAGCAGAAAAAAACAATATGGAAAAAAAAAAAAAAAAAAACGCTTTCTTTGACCATGACTTGCAAATCAATAAAAATATAACGTTGCCATACACGACTATGGCATATGTAATCTGATGAATCCAATTTGTTACAAAGGTATTCCGGAGGGTAAGACGGACATTTCAGGTTCACCAATTCCCGCTCTTTCCACAGTTACTGTCCAAAAAATAAAACACACACACACACACACACATACACACACATTGAAACCCTGAGTAGATGATGATATCCCTCACTCAACTCCTCTTTACTCATAATCGTTTGTCTTATCCTTTGAAATCATCGAAAAAGTGAAAACCCGTTGTTCTGTGTTGTTTGTTTGTTGTCACATTTTTTTCTTTGATCCTCAAAGATCGATTGTACGCACTTTTTTTGTTTCTTTTTGGTTTAGAGTTCGTTTTATGAGAATCTCTCAGTGATTTTGAAAGCACACACACCACACCAAACTGCACCACGCTACTGTCATTCTTACTGTTTCAACTTTCAATCGTTTTTACACACACCACACCAAAAAGACGCACTCACTCCTTACTGTCATCCATCGGAGATTGATCCTAGATTCAACCACCGGTCACCGCCGTCGTCAAATCTTTAGTTTCTTTTTCCGGGCTACTCAAGCTTTTGCTAGCCATCGACCAGCTTTTTTCTTTTTCCTCTGGATTTTCAGGTATTAATATCGCTAGCTAGTTATTCCATAACTCTTATTAATTTGGTGTGATAGAGAGTGGTTTTTCATTTGCTTGATTACCTGTGTATGATCTCACTAGATACGTTGTTGAGCTACTTCATTTGCTTACATGGTGATGAAACCCTCCTTTGGATATATGGTTAATTTTGATTCTTAATTTTGGACTTGCATTTTGGTAGTGTTCTAAGAGTGACTTTTGGTTTGCTTGATTACCTGTATATATGATCTCACCACACACGTTTTGTTGAGCTGATTTCATGCTTCTTTATTCAATTTGCCAATTGAGAAAGGGCTTACAACTTGTATGTTAGAAACTAGTTTCGCATGTACATGTGTTTTTTGATGTAGAAAACTTACGAATCTCAACAGTTTTCCTGTGTTCTTCTATTTCATTTGTTTGCATCACAAAAGATGATGAAACCCTCGTTGGATATATGGTTAATTTTGATTCTTAATTTTGGGCTTACGTTTGGGTAGGGTTTATCACTGAGTTGTTATGAGAATCATTTTTTTTACTATGGCTTGATATATTTGTATGATCACCACAATTTTAGCTGATTTATACCCTATGTTTTTTCAATTCTAGTATTTTTTTGTCAAACTTTTCCCGGGTTTGCCAGTGGGAAAAGGCCTTGTTGGATGATTACATCGCTTCACCAAAATGTTTGTATTTTGTGCTGGTGTTTTTGATTGTGGTATTTGAGGATTGATTTTTCTCTCTCTCTCCGTGTCAAAATAGTCGAAAACATCTCCAAGGTGGTATGATGCCGATTGATCTGGCGGCTGAGAGTAACAATCTGAAGCAGTCTCTAAAGAAAGCATCAGCGGCGTTCTTTGGCGAGTACGGCATTCTTAGTCACCAGCTGGAGTCGTACAACGCTTTCATTAACCACGGAATTCAAACTCTATTTGATTCCGTGGGACAGATCATCGTTACTTCCCAGTCAAATCCTTCGAGTAATGATGATCTCTTTGGAAAAAAATCAGTCTCGGTGAAGTTTGGGAAGGTCAGCCTGGAAAAGCCGAAATTTTGGACAAGCGACGAGTTCATTGAAGAAGGTGGTAGAGATTGGCTGGAGTTTCTCCCTCGTCATGCGCGCCTTCAGAACGCTACTTATTCAGCGAGCATTCGAGTCGAGAGTCAACTGCAGGTCTGGTTTATGAAATCTATTTTCAGTTACTTGAGACAATAGCAAATGTATATACTGCATTTATTTGCAATGTTTCACATTTTAGTTTTGGGTATCTTTTCATTCTCTTGTTATTTATAAGCTCATTTCTGATCTGTCATTTTGAGGATTGCACATTGTGCACAAATCTTTGTTAGTTTTGGTGTAACATATTTCATTTGGCTTGAACTTTCATGCTTTCATTATAAGTTCTACCAGAGTAGATTTGAGAATTCATATATTTAAATTAGGACCTGCATTCTTTGATTGGTTATTTCTTGGAGCTTAGGGAATTGTTGCCCTTATTAACATGTACTCGGAATGACTTAGCAAATCTAGAAGCTGTTGATTGAGGATCGGAAAACAACATCAGAATAACTACATTTCCTCTTTAAGTAGCTTCAAATATGAATGCATTATTTGGTCTTTATTACTGCTTAACTATTTATTCTTTTGTTTTCTTTTTCCTTTTGTTGTCCTCTACAGGTCTTAAATAACACTTGTTTTACTTGTTTCTGCAGGTGTACATCAATGAGGAATGTGTGAAGGAAAGAAAAGAAGTGACGACAATTGGGAGGCTTCCGATTATGGTAGGATCTGACATGTGTTGGATGAAAGGAAATATAAAGGCTGATTGTGATTTTGATCATGGTGGATATTTCATTATCAAGGGAGCAGAGAAGGTTCGAGTGCTTTTAGTGTTTTGGTGCATGAGTCCATGTTATTTGGATGTTCTATTAGGCTATTTGCATGGTTTTGCTGTTATCTGTTGCTATATTGTCAAACAAGAACATTTAAGCTTTGGAGGAAATAATTGTCTTCCTAACCAAGAACTTAGCATTAATTTCACTTTTGTGGAGAAGAAAAGAAAAGGTGTTCACAATTTTAGAAGCTACTTGAAAATCAGGATTAAAATTTGTCAATGGGGATGTGTGGTGACTGATATACCGTATACTATAGATCGCAATTAGAATTCTGTATGAATTTGTCTAGTTTCTTGTTAACTTCTTAAACATATGCATTTACGGGCAGAATTTTGAGTATCTGAGTCGGATTTCACATACTGTTGAGAAAAGACAACCTAGAAACTGATTTCTCATCACTTCTTTTCCTTATGTATCTGATTTCATGGTTAATTCTAGCAAAATACCATTTAAAGATTGCTTGTGCGGCTAGTTCATCGGCCAAAGAATTGATTACGCAACTATTTTTTATTTGGAGATGTCTAAATTAAGATGGCATATTCTCTTCTTTATGGAGATATTCAATGGTTTTTTAATCAAATTTTACTTTGTTATGCAGAACAAATGTCCTCCATTCATATTTCACGATCATTTGAAATTTTGGTCTGCATATTCTAATTTTTGTAAATTCACCACAGGTATTTATTGCACAGGAGGAAATGTGCTGGAGGAGACTAAGGATTTCGAAGACTCCAAGCTGGATGGTTGCTTATCATCAAGTTTCAAGAAGAGAAAGAGTGTACATGAAGCTGGTTGGCAATGAATTTGGAGGAGACAAATTCCTTCATATGTACTTTCTTGGGGCTGAAATGCCTGTCTGGATATTGTTTTTTGCCCTCGGCGCGTCATCTGACTTAGAGGTTGTGAATCTCATTGGCTTGGACATTGAGGATACCAGAATATGCAATATCCTTGTTGCTTCAATTTATTATGCAGACAATGTGTGTGAAGATTTCCGCAAAAATAACAATGCCTTCAAGTATGTTGAGAAGCTTTTAAAAAACTGCAAACTTGCTCCTGAAGAACCTGTTGAAGAATGCATCAGGAACTTACTATTTTCAAATCTCAAGTCTTTAAAGGCGAAGGCGCGGTTTCTTGGTTACATGGTCAAATGTCTATTGGAAGCCTATACTGGCAAGAGAAAAGTTGATAACCGAGATGATTTGAGAAACAAGAGGCTCGAGTTGGCTGCTGAGCTACTTGAGAGAGAGTTAAAGATTCACCTCAAGCATGCTGAAAGACTAATGACAAAGGCCCTGCGGAAAGATCTTCAAGCAGATAAAGCGCTCCAAAGTATTGTATTTTATTTGGATGCATCAATTATTACTAATGGTCTTTCCAGGGCATTTTCAACTGGTGCATGGTCGCATCCTTACAAGAAAATGGAAAGAGTGTCTGGTATTATAGCGACTCTCAGACGGACCAATCCATTGCAGACAACTTGTGACATGAGGAAAACAAGGAATAATGTGTCATACAACAAGGGCGTTGGTGAAGCCAGATATCCGTAAGAATAAAACTTAGTTACTCCTTGTCGCTTATGCATGGTTGGTTTTTGTTCCTTGCAATTTCTTCACTGATAATGATGGTTGAAATTTGCAATGCAGACATCCTTCACACTGGGGAAGGTTATGCTTCATCTCCACTCCAGATGGAGAAAATTGTGGGCTAGTGAAGAATTTGGCCAGTACAGGACTTGTCAGTACTGCAGTAACTGAGCCGTATCACCACAAGTTGCTTGAATGTGGCATGAAAGAGTTGGTGGATAATTCATCAGGTTTTCTTCATGAGAAGTTCAAAATATTTGTGGATGGAAACTGGATTGGAACATGTGAAGATTCTGAAAGTTTTGTAACAAATCTGAGGACTATGCGGCGCAGCAAGGAAATCAACCCGCAGGTACTTTCACTGACTTGAATTACTTTTGAGTGTAACTGGAGGTCTAGAAAAGAATGATACCATCTTGAATGACATGAGACTGATAAAATATGGTGAAACCATTTTTCATTTTTGCTTCTTCTTTGGATACATTATTGAATCTGTTTATCAGCTGCATGTAGCTTTATATATGTTGCTAAAGATGCTTGCAGTCTAGATGTTCATGAGCCTGGATTAATGAAAATAAATTAATATGCATCAGTCATTACCATTGTACTGTTATAGCTTTTCTAATAGTGGCACGTCTGAACTGTTATAAGTTTGTTTCCTTGTAGGTAGAAATTAAAAGAGACATACTCCATTCAGAAGTTCGAATATGGTCTGATGCCGGAAGAATTCTCCGCCCTCTTGTAGTTGTTGAGAATTTGAAGGGACTTCTTGATTTCAGAGGTGGATATCCCTTTAAGACTCTACTGGAAAAAGGGATCATCGAATTCATTGGGCCGGAAGAAGAAGAAGATTATACGGTTGCTTGGGGAGTTGACGACCTGATAGCTGGAAAGAATGAGAAGCCACCACGAAAATACACTCATTGTGAGCTTGATTCATCATTCTTATTAGGTTTGAGTTGCGGTATCATCCCATACCCTAATCACGACCATGCTCGCCGAGTGCTGTACCAATCCGAGAAGCATTCTCAGCAGGCCATTGGGTTTTGCACAACCAACCCGAATATTCGTGTGGATACAAATTTGCATCAGCTGTACTATCCTCAGAGTCCTCTGTTTCGAACTCTGCTCTCGGATTCTCTGGGCAAGATCGAACATCCAGCAAAAAAGGGGATGCTGCCATGCCCTCAATACTACAATGGACAATGTGCCATAGTAGCAGTGAATGTGCACTACGGATACAATCAAGAGGATTCTATAGTGATGAATCAGGCTTCCATAGACCGTGGCTTGTTCCGCTCAGAGCATATCAGAACTTACAAGTCTGAGGTAGATGAGATTAAAGAAACTGATGTCGTGGCCAAGAGAAGAAGGTCTATAGATCTTATCAACTTCAGAAAGATGCAGAGTGAATTCGACCATGTCGACTACCTAGACGACGATGGTTTTCCATTCATTGGCGCTAACCTTAATGCTAAAGACATAGTCATTGGTAAATATGCAAAGTCAGGCAAAGATTATAGCCTGAAACTCAAGCACACCGAAAGTGGCAGGGTTCAGAAGGTTGTGTTGTCCACCAATGAGGAAGGCAAGAACTTTGCAGCTGTTTCCCTGAGACAGGTATGTTGATATGGATTCCATGAGAACATTCTCCTTTTTTTCCTTCACATACATTGTGGATCTATCTTACTGAATTAGGTGTGTTAATTATTTTGCAAATTGTTCAGGTTCGTTCGCCAGGTCTAGGAGATAAATTTTCAAGTATGCATGGACAAAAAGGTGTTGTTGGTTTTCTGGAATGTCAGGAGAACTTCCCTTTCACAGGGCAAGGAATTGTCCCTGACATTGTTATCAACCCGCATGCGTTTCCTTCGCGACAAACTCCGGCACAGCTGTTAGAGGCTGCTTTAGGGAAAGGGATTGCGCTGGATGGGACTCAGAAAAGCGCCACTCCATTTTCGGGTTTATCCATCGATTCAATTTCAGACCAACTTCATAAGTAAGTTTACAACCAACTACTGCTGCATATGTTTTATTAGTTTCTGATGTGTGTTTGGAAGATTTATGATACTCCATGGCATTGGCAGGATTGGATTTTCAAGGTGTGGAAGCGAGAGAGTCTATGATGGACGAACAGGCGAAATGATTGAATCTTTAGTCTTTATGGGACCAGCATTCTATCAGCTCCTCACTCATATGGCTGAAGACAAAGTGAAGTATCGAAACACTGGACCAGTGCACCCGTTAACTCGCCAACCGGTGGTAGACAAGAAGCGATTTGGTGGCGTCAAATTTGGCGAGATGGAGAGGGATTGCGTGGCAGCTCTTGGCGCTTCGGCTAACCTAGACGAGCGCCTCTTCAGAATGAGCGACAGATCGGAAATGCACGTGTGCCGGAAATGCAAATACATGGCAAATGTGATTCTGAAAACAGTGTTTGGTGGGCGTAAGGTTCGAGGCCCGTATTGCCAGATATGTGAATCTGCAGAGGATATTGTGAAGGTGAACATCCCTTATGGATCCAAGTTGCTTTGCCAGGAGCTTCTCGGCATGGGGATTTTACTTCAGTTTGATACTCAACTATGCTGAGACATCTCTTCTATTTCGGCTTCTAAATTACACCAATATTTTTTCTGGGAGCTTTTGCTTTCTGGGAGTGAATACATTTTTTCTTTGTAGCAATCTGTTTCCTAACCTTTACTGTTACAGAAGGGTTGAAAGGGAAGGTTTCGTTTAGAACTGGGATGGTTCGTAACTCTAAATATTAGTTAAAGATTTCCTGCTTTTTCTGTGTGAGTAATCTTCTGGTGATTAGTATCTTCTTGCGCTGACGGCTGTGATGCAGGGGAGCTTTAATTTTCTGATTTGGTATAAAGGGTTGCATTGATTTTAGCAAGTAACTCAAGCGAGCTTGGACTTGGACCGAATTCGTCCGGATTCCTTAATGTAGCGGGAACCGATCATCCTCCACACAAAGTAACAGTAATTCACGAATCTGATCAAATAATGATCATCCATGAAGCAAAGGCCTCTTCCTGGGGAAAGAAAAACTTTCTATTGTCCTATCTCCTGATATCCAGAGCTTGTTAGCTGTGTATAGTAGCCTTCAACTGGATCGGATCTAGGTTGTTGTTAATGGCGGTTGCACAAATCCCCACCTTAGTCATTTCCTCTGATGAAACGGTTTAAGGCCTCCAGATTCATGATCATGACAAGGTTTTGTTTTGTAGCAGGCCAAACTCCCCGGGTGCCAGAAGGTTTGTGTACATTCTGCCTTTTCTCGCACTGGTGTTCCGACACCAAGTCGCAGAATCTTCAAAGCTCATCCATTTAATTCAAAAGCTTGTTAAATTCCATCCCATCGAATGCGTCACAAAAGAGAGCAATTTATCCAATGAGGGAATGTGTGATTCCACTGTTTGTTACATTGTTCCTTCGGTTTACTTGTTTTGACTTCAGATTGTATCCACAAAAAACACCAAAGGCAGCAGCTGATGGCCATGGTTTCCAATGATTTTACCCTTTCCAAAATATAATAAATCATTCCCATTAAAATGGAATTACTACTCCCGTTTAATAGAAATTTTAGTGAATAGAAATGATTTTGCATCACAATCTGACACCAGGAAAAAGAAAACACATAAGAGTAACTATAAATCATTCAAGAGTATTTTGACTGCCAAATATCTAAAGCAAACATCATTCTCCAACAAAATTTGTCACTCCGGCGAATTATCTCTACTTCAATATGTAATAGGAGCAATAACTTCAAGTTGAGGACCAAGCTTTTCCTCAGCGACCTTCTCAGCTTTAAGCCTCAGTTTTGCCAACTGCTTCTTCCTCTCATATGCAATCTGAGCTCTTTGTTTTCTCTTCTCCTCAAGCTCCTGCAGTAAGTGCGATTTGCAGAGAACTCGTCAAACAAGGAATAAAGATTCAGTCGTAGCAGCGAAAACTAGCAGGCTGAAGACAAAAAGATAGATCGATGGAGGAAATCATTTGACTCTAATCACACCACCTAGAGGCTGAGATAGAGGCAGGTGAGACACCTGACCAGTGCACTAAAATCTTCCAGCAGTGACGGTGAGGGAAAGTAATATGGATTTCAAAATTCACAGGTGAACAACCAAGGACAGTCAAACTAGTTTACCTAACTGTTAGAAAACTCATGCTCTAGGGCCTGTCTATGTAGGTTGATTAACTTAAGAGTCACTTAAAACTCAAGAAAGCATGCAATATTGGATGTTTATACATCATACTCCACATCCAATTTATAAACTAGCATCAAAGCTAAAGCATGCAGATGAGAAATAACAGGAGAAAATCGATTCAAGGCTGATCTTAAAGGATTTTTTTTATGTACAACAAATACCCTTGTGGCACTCAGAAAATGCGAGTTCCACCAAAAATTAGAACCTAAATAGAACCATCAGAATAGAACTACACAGGGGAAAGTCAATTTCCACAAAAATGCTCGCGGAAGAAGGGCAAACTCACCTTGATGGTGTCATAATGGTTCCATCCAACCTCAGAAGAAAGCTGACCCAACAAACAGTATTTATGTCCAGCTTGTAACCTCAAAACCCTATCACCAAGGCAAAAATGATTTATCAATTTGAACATAAATTCATGTATTAAAAATGCTTTTCTGAGTTAGACGTAGTTACTTACTTGAGAGCATCAGGGATCACCATTCTCTTTGTCTTGTCATATGGTGGTGGGACACCCTCATAAACCTTCAAACGAGCAAGTGCAGCAGCTCCTCGTTTTGTCTTGTGGGGTATCATCCTAGGAAAAAATGACATGAAGAGGAAGATATCAAGCTTACATTATAACTCAAGGACTGCAGAAGTTTCTGCGAAAAATAATACTGATCCCAGTAAAGGCAGTTCAAAGAAAGGATTTTAGAACAACTATAAGTCCTAGCATCAAGCATTTGCAGTTCATTCAACAAGGCACATGAAAGCTGAACTAAAAAGTTGCCTCCATTTGATACTACGAATTTCCATATCACAAAACCAGCAAGATGTCTCCACAAAAACTTTGCTCCACAAAAATGAAGGAAACAAAAACTCAATCCTAGAAAAAGCCTTTTTTGCAAGGAGCAATAAAAAATATTTGCATTGTAGGAAAAAGGAATAATGAGACCACAAAACATAAAATCAAAAGACTCCATTTCACTTCCCAGGAGAGGGTGGGCTCTAGGGAGGTTTTCGCTGTTCATGATTGTTCCCACTCCATTAAGCAAGGAAAAAAATTTGTATTTCAAGTCCTTAGAGTCTTCTGATTACAGCCAATAACATCAAATATAAAAACTATGAAAAGGAAGACCTGCTTATATCCAGATAATGACTCAAGTTTTTTGACTCCAGAGCAAGTGGCATATGTCAGACTAAAGAGAATAAAATACAACAGAGACACAACATCCATACTCACCAGGACATTGACATCAGCAATAGAGGTTGAGATTCACTAACACATTATTAAATTTCGTAAATATTACCACTGTCCAAAGACACAACAAAAATAAGCATTTGTATCCACAACGAGTTATGTTATGAATTTAAGTAATGCACTTTACAGGACAGCAAATCCACTCAATCAATACCGATATAGATCACATCCTAAGTAACTTATAAACATCTTCTAACTCCTAAAATGATTTAATTCCATCTGCTATAGAAAGATGAGATAAAAGAAACAAAAAAAGATTCAAAGATACAATATACACAGGATTTGAAGAGACATTTCCAGTCTAAATCAAATTCAAGAAACCTCCACAAGAAAGGGAACCAAAATATACTCCAACATTACAACATCGAACTCCAAAACAAGCCCATTTCTAATTTCAACGGAGTAAAAAAAAAAAAAAAATGTTGACAAAACATCAATCAGAAGAACGGCGCAGAGCAAATTACCCACGGATTGTGCGCCAGAGAATTTTGGAAGGTGCCCTGAAGTGGATAGGACCGTGGGAAGGTTTGGTGTTCATCCTCTTGCGGAGAAACCTATGGTACTTCATCTTCTGGCGAACTAACCCGCCGGAAAGGCAAATTTCCTCGCATCTGACCACAACAACTTTCTGGCCGTTCAACAATTCCTTAGCCAAAATGGAAGCTAACCTCCCGAGCATGTGGTTCCTGGCGTCAACCACCACCCTCCTCGCGCAGATTCCAGAACCAGAAACCATATTTTTTTCTTCTTTCTTTTCTCTTTTTCTCTCTCTCTCTCTCTCTAAAAGGTTCTTCGTCTGCTTGCAGCTGCTGCTCTAATGGCGGGCGCGTTCTGTGACAGAAACTCTTTTAGGCTTTTTTTAGGGTTCTTCTGTCTTCTCCGGGTTTTGAGATATTGGGCTTGGGTTTGTTCCGCTGATAATCCGCTTTTGAAGTTAATAAGGCTTTGAAATTGGGCTGTCTATCGTTTTGTAATTGGGCTTTACTATGGCCTGTATAATTTAGTTAACGGAACCTTATGTACGAAAATGAAAAACCTTGGTTGAAATGAAAAATGAACCATTTAGTTAACGGAAGTCCTAGTAATGTTTTGCCTAGGATTAGAAATCTCGTTAATAGTGTACCGACCAAGCAAAATGGCGATTTAATATCTATATAGTCGATCTCATATAATGGGATAAATACGTGTTACTGTTATCAATTAGGAAAATAGGTAAATAGAAAAAAGAAATCCATGAGCAAAATTTGAAATGCAAAAAAGAAAGGTTTGAAATTTAAGTTCCAAGTCAAGACTAGGAGGAATTTATATTGCTTTATTAATAGAAAATAACAGTTGAAATTTGAGGAGAAACAATTAAGGTCTCACTTCCTGATTTTATATATTTATTATTCATAATTGTTTTCTGAACGACAAATATGGCTCCCCACCACTGAGCTATTCTTATCCAATTATATTTCGAGTTATGATATATCAAAGTAAATATATTCAAATAACTCAATGAGTGACACATTGTAGACACAATTCTAGGATGAAAGGTCTTTCCGTAGCTAATTTAATTGATCAATCCTCATCTTACTTGAAGCAAAGAAACTAATGAAGCAAAAGTTGGTGACAATGGTTCTCAAGAACAATAGACCAAAGAGGACATTTTTAACAATAATGATAGAAATGGCAGCCAGATGCATCCAAGGATCTAGTTTTGAGCTCTGACAGGTCAACCTGTGAAGATGGCATCAAAGGAATTGGACAAAAGTTGACCTTCACTTCCCATCAAATCAATTTTATGTTGTCAATTTAAAATTGATGTTGAAACATTGTTGTACCCTTCTCATAATCTGTTGACTTTCTACACACTGAAAGGATACGGGTATTACTTATGAAGTAGAAATGAACTTATTATCCTCGTAATGTAATAGGGTTAGATTTTTATTTTTTTTTTATCAAACAAAGAAATGAACGAGGATTTAGGTTAATTTCACCATGCATATGCAAGTTTAATTCTTTAGGAAAGCTTTTATATAGTTTACTTAAGAGCTTACACCTATATGAATATAGGTGAAATATTGGAGAATTCAACATTATATATCATCTCATGTGTTCCACCTATTATAAATTACTAGTTTTTTATTAACTACTTTTTTTTGCTATTAAAATATTGTTATTGATACACAGTAAGTAAAATATCAAAAGATCTCATTTCAAAAATGTTAACACACACACACACACACACAAAAGGAAATTAAAAAAGCTTTTTTTCGGCTAAATATTGAATTGTTGCAACTTGCTACACATCTGTACTGATTAAGTATTCCATAGTATTGCCAAGAGAGGATAAGTATTTGGAAGATCTCAGAAAGAAGACAGCAATTTAAGGTGTCCTAAAGTGTCAAAGGATCTACTAAAAAGGTGATCTACTAGTATGAACCACTGTTATGAGCTAAATGCACCATCATATGCTGCTATTTGCATGGATAAAACTGAAAATTTGCTGAATAGAATTTGCTATATCTTCAGCTGAAAACCTTGCTTCACTCCCAACCTACACATGAAATATCAACAATTTTTTCAAGCATTCAGTAAGACATATATAACTTGAACATACATTGTATCAAACTCAGCTAAGAAAATGCGAAAATCATTCAAAAAAAAAAAATGTCATGATTCTTGGTTACCTTGACATTGAAAGAATAGAGAACAGTTTGTTCAATTGTGGTTATATTGGTATGAAGAATATTGAGCTGCATATCCTCAAGTGCAGCAATGGCTTTGATCAGCTGCCCTGGCCTTCTTCTGGACAAAACCTTTATCACTGCGTCATATCCTAGTAGCTTCACTTCAACATCGGCCAAACATGACTTACTCTCAGCTGTTTCTTCTTGAATCCCGGGTTCAAATTCGTCTAGTTTCATCTGATCATTTGGAGGAAGAGGCAGCGGAAGTGGCAGTGGCGCCGGCGTCATAGCTGGAAAAAAAGGTGGCTGATTAGGTTGCTGATGAATTGGAAATCCCGGTGATGATGATGATACTACATCTCCTATAGGTCTTGAGCCATCTCCATATAGCCTTCTCCTCTTTTGAGATTCTAAGCATTGTAAAAGTTGTTCCAATTCCCTCACAAACTCAATCGCGCCGCCTATTATCGATGCTTGATCTCCCTACAGAATTAGCAAAAATCAGTTTATTCATTATTTTGAAAACTCAAATCTACATATCTTTTGTGCACCATTGATGTTCATGCAAAAAAAAAGAAAAGAAAAAAAAAAGGTTATGCATTTGTACAAAAGTGGTGATTGGAAAAATTAAGATTGTGAAAGTTGCATGAAGAAATTAGAGTTGATGGTGATTTATATACCCTTTGGACATAAGAACCTGGCATGAGTGACCTAAGAACTCGAAGATGTTCATTCATTTGTTTCCTGCGATTTCTTTCCACCGCTATGTGAGTCATCCTTTGGCTTTCAACTTCTTCACTAGTCTTTATAGTCCTTGGCCTTTTCCTCTTATTCTTAGTTTCTGCTACCAAAGGAGTACTCTTTTCAAGGTTTTCGCCAACATTAAACCTAAGTTGAACTGAGTTATTTTCTGAACTCGGCCGCGGTTCTGCTTCTTGTGGACCTCTTCCACCTTCATCAGGTTGAGGATTCATCATAAGGCCTCCTCCAGCTTGACTATCTTGATTACGATCATTATCTTGCAACCTTTCATTCAAAACTGGAAACTTTAGAAAGTAAACTGAATCCATCCCAGTCTCTTGATCCTGGTGATGATCAGAAGCAGAACCTTTTCCTTGATTCAAAGCTAACTTTGGACCAAAATCAGCAAATTGCATCACATCAGCAAAGCTTAGAGACATGGGCTGCTGCTGGTGTTGCTCATGTTGATGATGATGATCAGTATTATTGTTGTGATGAACCATGTAGTCAACCATTTGATGAGCAGAAGATGAAGATTCTCCAGCAATAATTTGTGGTGGATTTTGTTGATGGTCATCAAGAGAATCATCATCATACTCAAGAAGACCAGTAAAATTTCCAGGAATGGAAGCAGCTGCTGCCTGCATCCACATTTTGGAGATCAAAGATAAATGGAAGAGAGTCATGAAATGATGTGTCAAATCTTGAAAACACAGTAGGAAAATAACCAAAAAGAGAGATTCATATATAAGAGATTAGCTTTGGAGCTTACTGAGTAATTTTCTTCTTTCTCCATCAACATATATATGCACACATGCAACAACCCTTTTTTACCCTAAAAACCCTCACTTGAGCTCAAACCATGTAAAAAAGTGAAAAATGCAAAAACACCCAAATTTTGAAATTTGACTTGGGTCCACCTCCTGATCAAAAATCAAAAATTCATCTTCCAAACCATCACCACAGTCAAGAAGACAAGAAACCCATATCATCTGAAAATGGACAAATTGAAGTGCATGCACATGTAATGATGGTACATATACTATGAAACTATATTTTGACAATTGAGGTTATGATTATAGGACTTGTAACAGTTAAAAAAAAAAAAAGAAGGGGAGAAAACAACAAAAAAAAGTGGGGTTTTGGTGTTTTAAGGAATCTGAAACATAAGGTACAAAAAAACTGGGTTTTGTTTGGTCAGATGATCTGGAAAACTCTTCAATGAAAAATTGGCAATTTGTTGTGCTGTATATATATTATTATGCTTGGTGGAGCTAGCTGGGTTTGACTTCAAAAATAAGAAGAAGATTAGACGTTGCATGTGAACAATGGAAATGGGAGCCTGTGTGGAGGAGTAATTTCCACCTCTTTAGTGTTTGATATATTTTCACCTCTCATAACATTAATTTGGATCACAAGTGTACAAAAATAACTTTACCACCTCTTTTCATGACTTTAATTAATACTAACCTAAGCGCTTGATATATGAGAACAAGTTTTTTTCTTTTTCTTTCAAGTTCAAATCTTGAAATGATGCGGACACAAAGTGCATGATTTGGAGCTTGATTTTGTATTTATTATGCAGCGTAGCGGAGTCACGAAAAAAGATTAAAATGAACAAAAAGAGAGGCATATTAGTCCTAGAAGTCACGTGTTAAGATATGCATGGCTGGGGTACAGAAGTAAATGAATACATAATTTGTCTTTCCCATTTTCTTTTTCCAGAAGTCACATATTTTCACGTTTGTTGTATTCTCGTGATTGTTATGAAATATTTTTAAAATTTTTTTGTCAATTAAAAATGTGTACTATATTAAACATAGGACAAATCAAAATGTCTTATATTAAAAAACGGAAGAAGTAAAAAAGTTTTTATCAATTAAAAATGTGTACTATATTAAACATAAGACAAATCAAAATACCTTATATTAAGTAACTACTAAGTGCGGATTATATCGAACTATACAACTCTAAATAGACGACTGTTCAAACAATCTATTCCATTGGAGCTTGGGAATTAGGACAAGCAAAACACAATTACCATTCAACAATGGCTTCGATCTAGTTGCGTAACTTGCATATATAGAGATACTTGAAGAAAGTACACAAAGACGGGACCTTTACCAAGCGTCAAGAGTGGGTTTCCTTTCGTCTTGTTTTGAAGAAGATAGTAGAATTAGTACCTTTCTGGTTTTAGTTAATCTAGTAAGGATTATTCCGTTTTAAATTTTGGTACATGTTTTTTGATTACTTGTTCATCCTTTTATACGGTGGAGTAGAAAAAAGCATTCAAAAGCTAATCATTCACCAAACTTGCCATCACCAAAAAGTTAAAAAACGGTAAATATGGAAAGTGTAAAAAACAAAGGAAATGAGAGTACACCAACTCCCCGTTTCACTGAATTTAGCCCCATACATGTCCACAATCCGTTTCCACCCCATAAATTAGAAGAATCAAATAAGCAGCAGTGCAGCACTGAGCTTGTTGCCTTCGTTGTTCCTTTCCCTTTGCCCAAATAAAACACAATACATTCCGGAATCCTTAAGATCGAGCACCAAATAAAGGTCAGTAGAATACCAGATAACATATCCAGCTTCTGCCTATAAATGCAAAATGCCACCTCTTCCGGCTCTTTGCAATAGCAATTGACCCCCAGAGCACCAGTGCTTCGAAAACAAGTGATAATGGCTCCAGAGTCCTGTTGTTAAAAACCTTCAAGAAAATGAATCAAGAAGTGTACTCAAATGGTTGGGGAGGTGCCGGTTCGTCATCAACTGCCATTGCTGCTGCACCCTGTTGAGCAGCTGCAGGGGCACCAGCATTGGCCGCAGTCGATGAAGGTGCATCAGTGAGGGCCAAAACTTCAGGTTCATCAGGGCGAAGATCTCTCAAAAGAACAAACCCTGAAGATGCTGCCTTCACGGGCACGTATCTGCTGTCTTCCTTGAATCTGATGAACTTCTCCTGAGCTGGAACAACCCTAGCAGGGTTTGTCAGTGTCTCGAAAGTAGGTTCTGGTTCCGCCTTCTTTTCGGGAGGATTATCAACCTGCCAATTTAATGAACTAGTATGTGAGTTGACAGGTTAGAGGAAATATATAGGTAGACCAATTTACTAAATGGCAACAAACAATTTAAAGACAACTAAAAACAACTGGACAAAGAACCAAATATCTAGAAGCTAACCTGCATGGAGTCCCCATCCTTTTCACCAGATTTTGTCTTTCCAGAGGAAGGATTACCAGAGGCCGCATCATTTTTTTCAGCAATAGCCTTCTGCTCTGCCTCTTTCTTACTTGCCCTGGCCTTGGCTCTGGCTGATGTTGACAAAACGGCAGTAGGAAGTTTAACAGCTGAAGTGGCAGTAGGTACCGTTGTGGGCTTGGGATACTCAAACAATGATGGTTTAGCATGAGATATGAACTCAAATTTCGGAACTTTAAGGTCATAGTTGAGGCCAATGAAAGCTGTCGGCGAGAATGCTAAACTGATGAAGTATATAAGTGGGTACCAGTACCAAAACTGACTGAAAACAGCAAGGCCAACTACTGCAGTGATTTTATCATGTTTGGTCTTCGAAAGCAACTTAATAGTGACGTTCCTACCACCAGCATCCAAAATTCCAGAGGCCAATATTGCTCCCATCTTGCTCATGGTATCTTCATGCTTGTCCAGAATAATTTTTTCCAATTGCCTCCTAATAATGGAGGAAAAGCAAATAAACTAAGGTGAATAAAAAAGAAAATCATAAAGTCATCAAAGTCCATAGATGAGACAAGACTACCTGAATGAACCAACACGAGAATCACTTGCTTCACTTATCTGAACCATTACCATGGCCATTGCAATGAGAGCACCTTGACGAACAAAGTCCACAACATCTGATGTCAAGGGCTCTAGCAATGATATAGCCTCGCTCATTCCAGTACCAGCACAAGAAATACCAACAGCTAAAGCTGCACCATAGCGAACGTGTGGATTGTATGACTCAGATAGCAGAGAAACAATCCTTGGAGTCTGCAATTCATGATTCACAATCCAAGTTAAGACTGTATTTAGGTTAACTCATACACAGAAAAAATCGAGGAAGACAAAGGAGTAGCTTCAACAAACAAATGAATCAGAACAATGCCCGCGTAGTGAGAAAATGCACACCTGCTCGGGGTCAGAATATAATACAAAACCAAGTGCCAGAACAGCAGTTCTCCTAACATCGTCGCTTACGTCTGATACTGCAAAATGCAGCAACTGACGAATGGCCTTATTGTTAGCTGTACCACTGTATGCCAAAGCCAACGCATACATGCCTCCATATCTAACTATTGGATCTTGATCACGGGTCATCTGTTCAATTAGCGTGTCGGCTTCTTCTTCTCTCCCATAAACTGTAAGGGCTATACCCAGGGCCAGACCCCTACAGGAAGCAACAGAGGTCAGAGCAATCAAGAATGTATTAAGAGGTAATTATATCATAACAAGCCAGTTAACCCAACCTGATAATTTTCTCATGTTGAGTCTCGTGTGCATATGCAAGCATTTCACCTGCCTTCTCACTTGCAGTCCCAACCATCAGCAATCCCATGCTAATGCCAGCTGCTTCACCAGCAACGGCACTGTCTGTATAGAGGACATTTTTGATATCATCAAAGATATCTTCATCAGCAGTTCCTAAAGCTGCCAAGCCAAGACCGAGGCAGGCACCATGTTGAATAACCTGCAATAAAATTTAAAAAAAAAAAAATTAACTAAAAAACAAGAGCAAAATATTATCTAGATTTGACGAGATTATTAACCAAAAATACCTCAACACTGGTGCTTCTTAGACTATCGCGAAGGAATTGTTTGATGCCCTCCCCATGATTTGCATGAATCAGACCAAGAGCATATAAAGCACCTCCTTCGGAATATGGACTGCCACCACCACCAGCCCCACTCTGAGGCAAGTAAGGAGCCATCAACGATCTTCCTTGCTGTAGATGACCCTTGTGAATAACCCCCAGCCCTGCTGTTGCACTGAATTTAGCCCAATTTGTGGCTCTGCTAAGCCAGTCCTGGGGGTTCAGGACAAATAACAAAAACAATCAATATCAACCGTAAAGCTAAATATCATAGATCAACCAGAAACACCAAAACAAAATCACTTACTAAATTTTCTCTGAGAAATGTGTCAACAGTTGTCCCAGCATGCATTATTGCATTGGCATATATTGTTGCACTGTGGCAGACACTATTTCTCATCTCAACAGATTGCTTAATTGTCTTGAGAATAAGAAGATCCGACCTGCAGGCAAATAGACGCGCTGAATCAGTCACCCTTTGAACTACAATGTAATGAAAGTAAACTTTCTTCTGGACAACATATTATTAGAAAAAAAAATAAAAGAGGCAAATGATATGCTTACTTGTTATGACTATATAGGAATTGCAATGTCAATTGAATTGACGTCTCTCCAGATAAAATTCCCTTTATCTTTGATAACCGTTCAGCATAAATAGCATCATTTGGCGACACATTGGCATCTGTGGCTTGGCTTCTCTCTGCCATTTGGACATCTTCCGATGCTGTGCTGTTCACATTCAGGGATGTGGCTACCTCAGCAGATCCCGACGGCACAGACACCGAAGCTTCTGGCTTGGAACTTAAAAGCCTATCTCTGACACTCAATAGAAAGGCTTGGTGCTCATTCTCTACAAGGTCAAAAGCTATTTGAAATGCCAATAGAGCGTCATCTTTATTTTCTGATCTCAAGAGTTTCTGAAATAAACCAGCAACATCCTCGGCTTCATCCAAAAACATGAGAAGCTGGCATATGCTCAAGTAATCTGGAGATGGAAGATCTTGAAATACTTTAACAAGAAGACGTTGCACCTGCAAACAATTAAGAGAAGTATAAGAATCTGTACTGTTTCATGTTAAATGACATACCATACCTCTGTCCAAATCAGCTATGTAAACAGGTCATGTAATAACAGAACTGCCACGAACAAAGATGACTGAAATTTATACGTTGCTTTTGTTCATTAGTGTTTGGATACAATAACATATAACCACTACACATTAAACCTATACGCAGATTTGTGTTGTAAAGCACAAACCTTTCAACAAGAGGGAAAATACAAACCATAAATGTCAGTCAACCTCTACCTCTAAAGTAATTTTAATCCAAGAGTTAATAATACCTAAGCTTTACAAAAAGTTTTACAAGTTGGGTTACATTATGGAAACTTTACAATCATCCAGCTCTATCCAGGGGAGAATGTGTAAAATCCCATACAATGTCAGTGTTCTGAACAAACACAGGGCCATTAAGGCCTAATGTGCAGCCTCACTTTACCTACTTCAATTAAAACCTATTGTTTTTTTAGCCATAACCAAAGACACATTCAACTAAATTTTACCACCACAAGACATGGAGCCAAAATGTAGATCAACTTGATGCATGCATTAGCCAACTACCATGAATTCAAGTCAACCTGAAACAGCCAACTGTTGTCTCCAAGACCTATCTTTGAGGTAGCAAAAAAAGTAACAGCAAGCCATTTCAACTTTAAAGTTTAATGCATCACTTAAATGACAAGAATCACAACTTCAATAGATTATCAAACAGAAGGGAGAACAAATAAGCTAAACGGAGAAAATTTGTCAAGAACTTCACCTCGCGCCGGTATTCCCGAGAATTAACAAAATTATGTGAAACATCAATGCAGTACGACAGGGTTGCTAGTTTGTTATCACTCTGAAGAACTGCTTGCTCAAGCTTATCCAATCTTCGGCATTCAATGGCCATTCCAACAGCTTGCTGATACCTTCCATCAAGTATACACCTGAAATGGATTATCCAAATAGTAAGATAAGCTCTAGTCTAAAATTAAGTCCATGCTAAGAATCCACAAATTTACATACTTGTCAAGCATCCGCTCAACAATGGCTTCCAATCTGGGATCCACTTCTGCAGATTCATTTGATTCAGCAGCCCTTGTCCTGATGCCCGCGTATTCATCAATAGCTTTGGCTGAGGGGACAAAATAAAATGAGTAAACATGTAGTCCAGGATACGTCTATCCCCAAAGGTAATTGATTTTCTAACAGCAAATACTAAAATCTGGGAGCTAATGCACCTATTCTCCCTGGTATCCAAGAGATACAGGTCGGAAGGGGTACCAAAGAAAGGATTTTGAACGTACTATGTCAAACCACAAGTCATAGGTGCATTAAAAAAACACTCACCCAAGGATTGTGCCAACATAACATAGATGCATAAAAGAGAACTCACCAAGAATAGTGCGGACATAATCTGTATCTTCCGATACATCAAAAAGAGGGCCAGCCCCAAGAGCATATGATAAGGAGTCATTTAACTCGCCCAAATAACAATGCACCTGGAACAAAATACGGTAAAAAAAAATCAATGCACAGTTGCATACCTCACTTCCAACGAAAAAAAGTGGAGGTTACATAGCCTCCTTATTTTTTTCTAATACACTAGAAAGTTTACTACTTGAAACATGCCGTTACTTGCTTATTAACTGTAAAATAGTTTTGAAAAAGATAGGGAAAGCATCTTCAAACCTTTGATGCAAGCAAAGCAGCAAGTTGTCTCTGTGTCTGGTCAAACTTTTCGTCGTCATACACGCTCTCTCTGTAAATCCATAAGAAAATGTTTTAATTTCAGGATGCTAGCTTCATACACTATATAGAGTTGACTAACTAAAGATAGACACACAAGGGCCAGCAAAAGCAACATTTGTTCCAAACCACAAGAATGAAGAACCCTAATTAAAATTTGCAGTCTAGCAAAGGGGCATTAGAATGCAGCAGATAGCAGAACAGGCAAGCGGGCAATTCATCATGTACAGAAGCATTCCATACATATGCAAACACATTCTTTTCACGGCGACACAACAAGTAATCCTATGCCTGAATACAACACCAAATTCACTTCACAATAGCTAATACCCCATCCGGTGCACAAAATTCCAAAGATATTCATAAATCACAGCCAATTATCCAAAATTAAATAGATGAACCTACTAAGATTCTTAAACCCTAGTTTGTTCCGCCAACGCATTAGATCAATGAATACTCCAACAAGATTGTAACTTTAAAAAACGAAAAAAAAAAAAAAACACTGATTCGAGCCGTAGGGTTTCGAGATTACATCAACAAAACGGAGTTCGAGATCTCCGGCCAGTAAAAGTCGACGAAAGCGTTCAGCTTAGAGAGCGCGTGTTGCTTGAGTAGTGGATGGTCCTCGCTCAGCATCGCCAGAAGCATGCCGGGGGAACTCACCATCGTCGCCGCCATCGAGCCAACGATTTTCTTCGAAACACAAAAGTTGTAATTTAGCAAAACTTAGAGGAATATTAGCAGAGAGGTGAAAAAGACTTCAAAAAAATTGTGGAAAACTAATGACCCGAATTTTGGCTAATCGGTTTTAAATTGGGGGATCCGGATTTCGTTTTCGTATGCGAAAAGCAATTGGATTTGGAAAACAAAACAAAAACAAACCCCCGTTGGTCGAATAATTTATTTAAACTTTTGGGTAAAATTTATAATTGTTTGAAACTTTAAGGAATAACTGTAATTTACCCAAAAAAGATACTACTTTGGAAAATTGTTTCCAGGGTCTTTGAAGTTGTATAATTAATAATAAGGGGTGCATTTTCCACAAAATTAGAGTTCATTTAAATCATACGAGAATAGATAAGGGCAGCAATCAATTTCCAGGAAAGAAACAATTAAAAATGATACAGTATGTTTGAAGTATTGAACCAACATAGCTAAACTTGGGATGTGGGATGAGAGTTGGATGAAATTATTTTATACGTCGCACTTTAATAGTTTATTTTGTTGAACTAAAACATAATAACAAAGTGGACTATTAAAGTGGAACGAATAGAGTACTACTTAAATAGAAGTGTCGGGTATTTAAATTAATAGCAAATGTTCGACTAGAATATGAATGTCGAGACCTCAATACCAAAAGCCTAACTCCAACTGCTTAATTACTTTGATTTTGTTTTCATAACCACAGTACTGATGAAATCGACCATTATTTTGCCTTTCGATATATTAGACTGATATTTTGGATTATGTACAAGGTGAAAATAATTAATTTGTTACGATAATAAAATTTTATAATGACTAACTTTTAAATGAACTCTTTAAACAATAGGTCTAAATATTAGATAGATTATGATCTTAAATTCTTGAATAAAAACCATAAACAACATAGCAACCAATATAACCGACAACCATAAAAATACAGCACTAGAGGACCATAAACAAGATCCACTTAAAAATAAAAGTAATTGTAAAAACAAAAAATAAAATAAAAGTAATTGTAATCAATATTAAATTTTAATCACTAGAGGACACATGTATTTAACCGAACAAATTGTTGACTAACTAAATTGGAAAATAAGATAGTTAATTATTTTACTTGTTGGCGGTAAATACTTGAAATTACAGGAGGAAATTATTTTGTCAAGGGGTGTAACATACTCCAGTTCATCATCAAGGCATAATAAACTAATTAAAATCATACTTACCAGAAAAATAAGTTTTTTTAAAAAAAAAAAAAAAAAAACCAAACCAGTACGGAGACAAAAATATATCGAGAGAAGTCTTCAATTTGTGATAAAAAAAAAACTGTGCCAAGCCTTAAAGGAAAAGAAAATATAAAATGTTATCGCTTAAATAATTCTTGAAAAAACCTTGGAAGTGAGAGTCAAAAGATTCATCAGAATTCACATTGTTCATTACTGCATCCGTCTACTCTATATTTAATTTTCGCGCGAGAACCGCCCACGTCATGTTGTGGTTCTTTTTTTTGTTTTTTTGTTTTTTTTCCTTTTTCCAAAAATTTATTCTCAGTGAAGAAAAATTATATTGATATAATAAAAAAGGTAAAACTAAATATTAGATTCCCAAAATTTGGGGATAGCTCGACCAAATTACCACAAACCTTTTTGTTTAACCAATTTTAGTCACTATAAGAGGTTTTTTCACCTATTTTAGATCACGAAATTACTTTTTTTAAAAATCTATTGGCTAAAAAGTTGAACGTTAATTTTTAAATGGTGTTTGCCGACATTTGAAAAGATACCAACTTTTAACTCAAGGTAGATTTAAATTATTTTTCAACTTAATAGGGAAAACTAATAAAGACATCGAAATTGTGCTATTTTTTAGATAACTAGTGTTAGTTTTTCTCAAGAAAAATTTAAATAAATTGACCGAAGTTGACAAAAGTCCATTAGGACCTCCAGCTGTAAGGCTAATAGAGTCCCAATCCTTTCTTTTGTCACCAGTCAAATCCCTCATTCGTTTCGAAGAAATGGAACCAAATTATATAAGTTTGGCATCAGGCATACTGTTAAAACTCCTCGCCCAATATTTCCACCTGCCTCGTGATGATCAGAAGTCGATCATAGCCCTATTACCGCTTCAACTTGATCACCAAAGTCGACCTCAAAGAATCCGAATCCCGGCATTGAACTACTTTGTGCGCTCCACCGACGGCATGACTTTAAGAATCATCAGTATAAGCTATGCGTTATAACTGGGATTCTTGAGTTCATCTCTGTTTCCTCATAATTGTGTCACCAATCTGGCAACCAAGAAAAATTCTTGGGATTAGAATGACTTTTGACCCATCAAAAGCCCACCACATTTCACGGTAATGATTTATCAAAAAATTGTAACATTCGAGATCACTACTAGTTTGAATTTTGAACTGTATAACAGAGGTCATATGAAAGGCCTAAAAACATGATTTGTTCCATACACAAATGTATTATTTTTACAGCACTTTGTGCATCTTCTTGAAACGATTGTACAGTTTAGATTTTCATTTTTAGTTTAAATTGTACAATAAATAAATATATAAAGTTCATTGAACAAACATTTTGAGACAAAGGGAATATAATAATTTGAAGGAGATTTTTTTAAAAAAAAAATGAGAAATGATCTCACTAATAAGGAAGATGTATATTTATTTACAAAAATAAAAAAATAAATACTACAATTTTTACAACATTATTTCAATGCTAAATTTCAGAACTAATGCACGTTTTACGCCTGATACCTGCCCAATGTACATATTTATCTATATCTTACTATATTAGAAACAAAAACCTCCCTTTCAAATATCTCATATGATTGCCACGTGGCATGTAGAAAGTACTAAATTGCCCTTTTGTCTAACCATAACTAAATTACTAAATTTCCCTTTGCACTTTACGTGACACGTTTTTTTTATTTTATTTTTCTTTATATTTCATTCACCTAGAGTGGTTTTTTAAATTGAATTGATCAATTAGGTTTTTGTTACAAAGTGTCAACTTTGTTTTAAGCGTATACCCTTCGGATGAAACTTATTACAAAACTATTAAAAATCTCCAAAACTAAGTATTGATTTGGCACGACCAATGGAGAACATCAATAAATCATCTTACTTATATTTAAATTTATTAGGATACTTTTATATTTTATCTAACATTTACTTCAACACATTTATTCGATTAAGGCTATTTATATTTAATAAGTAACACTTATAAAACATTTCTAAAACATACATGGCGAAATACGATTTCTTCTTTTTTTTGTGTGAAATACAAATATTTTTATGATCACACTTATAAAACATTTCTAATTCCTTCAAACATTTCTAAAATATATCGCTACAAATACAAAATTTTATTTTTTTCAAATATAAATATTTCTAAGATCTACAGATAGACTGGGCCAGGGTCGCGCATTGTGCGACCAGACATCACTAGTATTTTTATATTAAAGCAAAATAAATTTGTTGCAAAAAGTATACATGTCAAATTTTTGTTAACATGTTTCTCGCCCAAATCTAATACAAAGCTTTCAACGTATTAATTGTTATATCCAAGTTATGAAAAAAAAATTAGTGATCATAAATTAATATATTCACAACTTAATGATAAGTTTAAATAAATTAAGAAAAAATCATAAATTAGTGAGCATTTATTCAATGATTGGCCGAGACATAAAAGTTTCATTTGAAATAATTTGAAAATGATTAGGAAACGATTATTACTAATTGAATAATGTGAACGCTTTCTCAACAGTTATTTGATTTAAATAAATTAGGATGGGATAACGAATTATTAATCGATTATTCACTTATTTGACCGAGTAATGTAAGATTATTTGACTCAATTTCCAAACGATTAGGGAATGAAAACTTTGATTGAATGTGGACGCAACTTAGGGCTCCGTTTGGGATGAGATTTTGAATCATTAGTTGATATTGAAATATTAAATGTTTTGATATGCATTGATTGATTGATTTGGAATAAATGTGTTAAGACTACTATCTCTACCCGATTCACCTATATGCACCAGTTACATTATCCTTCTACTCACTCTTTGCTTAATATAACTAGTAATTTACACGTGCGTTGCACAACTGATATATGGAAATTATTATTTGAACATATAAATGGTAGTTGTTGAACTCAAAATATATTGACACAAACAGTAATTACTATTGTTCAACATGTTTGTATTTCGAATGATAAATTGAAGAACATTGAATGAAAATCATAAAAAATCATATAAAAAAATATAGAAAACTGTACATGTAATTTTTATGGGAAAAAATGAAAAGGGCAAAGCATTCGACAGAAAGAAAATGAAAGTAGCCAGTTTCATATATATTCTGAAATACTTCTTCGTAGACAACGTTAGTGGTGCAATTGACAAATTATCCCCCAGTTGCAAATGAGTACTTTAAGAATTTTTAGCATATTATTTTATATCAAATTTTTAAGAATTTGCCAAGTAGGATTTTATCCTCAATGGTAATATAGAATTCTTTTGAAACCCCTTACTGATGTCTCTCTTAATATAATATCCTAGATTCATAATTTTTTTTTAATAACTTCTTCTAAGATAAAAAAAAATCATTAAGACAAGTAACCCACACAATATTTATGTGATAAGAAAATATCAAACTTATGAGTTGTTTTAATGTGTCTTCAGACTTAATGCAAACATTAACTCTGAAGAGTAAAGTCGAATCCAATCTAATTTGTTTGGAGAATCAGTTTCAACAACATGAAGAATTTATAGTATTTAACTTAATCTTTTGAAATAAATAAACCAAAACGCCGACATATTATGCATATCTAAAGAACAATAATACAAACACGGTCTATCACTATACTTAGAATGTGATAAAGTAATTTGTACTTTTATCTGTTACATTACAATGATTACATGAACTTTCAATATGAATTACTCCATACGTATCCCCATATGACCATATCACTACTCTTCAGATTAACACGCACTGAAAAGTAATACTCCTGTATATTACTCTATGAATTACTCGATATCCCCGTATCTCTACCACTTACTCTTGAGACTCAACCAAATGAAAAGTTAATGAAAGCTATCTAGCGCAACTTCTCGATAGTGTAATGATATATACTCGCTGGTAATTTATCTTCAATAATCTTCAAGAATTTTCAAAGGGTGACGTGGGATAGATGAAGGCAATAGATTCATCCACTATAAAGTTTTGCTACTTCTTCTCATAAAAATGTTACACATTACATTTCTTGAATAAAACTGTTTTTAATATAATAAGTTACGTATTCCTTTGGTAACGAAGAGATTAATACAACTAGATAACGTTTGAACATATAAAATAATGCTTCTACTATTTAATTCAAAAGTGAAATAGTTGCGACAAACAAAATTGGTACTAATGTTTTCCATGTATTATAAGGAGCTTCAATTATCATTGCACAGCCATGCATCCACATACGTAAAGCATAGGCGGCCATTGTTTGGTAGTTCCATTTATTACTCTAAAGGAATATTGAAACTGAACAACAACTATTTCGTTTTAATGATGAAATGACCTTTAGTCCACGAACTTCTCATTTTCCTCTGAAACCCTATTAACTCCATTAATGGCCAACGCGGCTTCTGGTCGATCATCATGATCCCTTTATCCATTGGCTATACAGTCACACTCCTTCTCCTTCGCTTAAACTACAAGCTGTCCAATTGGGCACAAAAGTCAAACTTAACAGTACGAAAAGCAGAAAAGAAGGAAAGAATCAAATTGCAATGAGGCTTTGGAATTCATTACAACAACAACAACAATAATAATAATAATGTAGTTTTAGTCTTTTAGAAGTGGGCAGTTGGAAAGAATAAATATACATGCACCCCTATGGTTGAACACCATGCATTTAATTCAATGGAAGATGACAGTTGAGTTTCAATTCCAATTTGGACCTACCATGTGGCTATTGCTCAATCGTTGTAGTAGCAAGAAATACTAATAGCATGCATTAACAAAAAAAAAAAAAAAACTTGAAATGACTAAATAAAGGTGATTGTAAATGCTACCTTTTCAGTATAAATATCGTATTGAAGACCAAACTTATTAGGGTTTCGGTTTCATTTCTCCAAGAAAAAAAAAATGAGAGGTTGTTTGGGTCGTGGTTTTGCGGTTGTGGTCTTGCTTGCTTTGGTTTTCAATGGGGTAGTTTTAGGAGATAAGAGTAAGAACGTGAAAGGTGCTGAAGATGATAAGCACTTGCTTTTTCATAAGCCTCTCCCTCGGCCTCTTCCTCGCATTGGTAGAGGAGGTTTAGGGCCGCATGGGATATTTAGGAAGGGTTTTAAGCATGGTGGACTTGGTGGAGGTTTTGGTGGTGGTGGCGGCCTAGGAGGTGGAGCTGGTGGGGGTTTGGGAGGTGGAGATGGACTTGGTGGTGGAGGTGGGCTTGGTGGGGGTGGCGGTTTAGGTGGCGGAGGTGGTCTTGGAGGTGGTGCTGGAGGTGGGCTTGGTGGCGGTGGAGGATTAGGTCATTATGGTGGTCTTGGAGGGGGTGCTGGAGGTGGTCTTGGTGGTGGTGGAGGATTAGGCCATCATGGTGGTCTTGGCGGAGGAGCCGGAGGTGGTCTTGGTGGTGGTGGAGGATTAGGTCATCATGGTGGTCTTGGTGGAGGAGCTGGAGGTGGCCTTGGTGGAGGAGCCGGAGGTGGTCTTGGAGGTGGTGCCGGTGGTGGACTTGGTGGAGGTGGTGGTCTAGGTGGGGGAGGCGGTTTAGGTGGAGGAGGCGGTGGCGGTCTAGGCGGTGGTGCCGGCGGTGGAGCTGGAGGAGGTTTCGGAGCCGGAGGTGGAGGTGGGCTTGGTGGTGGAGCCGGTGGAGGTGGAGGGTTTGGCGGAGGTGGTGGGGGAGGACTTGGAGGAGGTGCCGGTGGTGGATTTGGAGCTGGTGGAGGTGTAGGTGGAGGAGCAGGTGGTGGAGGTGGCTTTGGTGGCGGAGGAGGAGGCGGCCTTGGAGGTGGAGGAGGATTTGGTGGTGGTGCGGGTGGAGGTTTTGGTGGTGGAGCCGGTGGCGGTTTTGGAGGCGGTGGAGGTTTTGGTGGTGGCGGTGGCCATTAAGCTACATTACCTCTCACACTGCTGCATTGCATGTATTTTGTCAGTTTAAATGCACAAACAATTCTCAGTGTTGTTTCTGTGTTCTCGTCGATTGACTGAAGGATTTTGCTTTTTTCCCCCCTTTTGCTTTCTTCTATTATTCTATTAGCTGCATAATGTATAATTATAGTTATGCACCAAATTGAAGGTTCCTCAATCTTAAACATTTTTATGAAAGAGTTACTCTTATTATGAATTTTATCTTTGTAATTTATTCAATGGTAAGTCAATTTCAAAATACTTGTTTATTTACTCTAAAAATAGGCCAGGTCTTGTACTGTTCTAAATCCTAATGCCAATCCTCTCATCTAGCTACATTCAGCTCTGCATGATGAGATCTAGAAAACACATTTCTTGCAGTTACTCAAATGTAAAATCTTTTATGAAAGCAGCAGACCAAGCTATATATCTCACTTTTTATAAGCTATCCTCTCTGAAAGGACGAGGAATTGAAAGGTCTAATTTCTGATTTGCTTTGGACGCCATTGTAAGAATTTAATGATCTCGTGACAATAATGTAGATAGATGTTGAGTTATTGCTACAATTAATAGAGCTTGCTCTTAAAGTAGGGCACTGTAATTGAATGAGTATAACTTCATCCATGAATGAAAACTCTCCTTTTTCAAAAAAAAAATAAAAAAAAAATTGAATGAGTGTAACTTTGCACATCTTGCGAAATTTTCATAGGGCGTGAGAAAATCATTTTTTCTCCCAAATGCTGGAATTTTTTTTTTCTCATTGGAACCCATTTAACATTCTATTAAATAATAAAACAAAAGTAGTACTCCCTCCATTTTTTTATGTCTTTCTAAAGAATTCATCAAAACCAAGAAAATATTAATTAATGTAGTTAAAATACAAAAACAATCTTATTAATTGTATATACAACTCATCACTAATCAATAGAACTTTATTTTAAATATTGTGTCATTTCTAATATAAGGGTAATTTTGGTAAAAAGTGGTCAAATGTACTTCGATTTGTGAAAACGACATATATTTTAAAAAATTCACCAAACTCTAAAATGACATATATTTCAAACTGGAGGGAGTATTCATTAACCATATTTCTCTTCAATGCATAAATGTATGGTACGAGCCACTTCATTCAATTTTCTCTGCTGCGAGTTGCCGTATTGGGAAGTGATCACGACCAGTTTTTGAAGAAATTGAGACTTCTAATTAAGGTCTAAACCAGATGAGATATTGACCATTGAGAATAGACAGAAGGTCTGATAAAATGCATGGATGATTCTTATAGATTGATTTTGTTGGCCAATTGTACCAATCTTTATGCTGATGGTTGGAATGTCTTGACCATTGAATTAAGTATATTTCTGTATATATGTACACGTGTTCTAATTAATTACTTCTTGCTCGTGATTAATTTGACAATTGACACTGTTTGGTTTTCCTGATTTGTGTACATATCCTTGTTTGGCTATAGCTGGCCAATGAAATAGAACGGATGGAAATAAGTTGTCTGACTTCAATGAAAGTACTTTTCTCTCCGTCTCAATGTAAGTACAATGATAGAGATATCGATTTTGACGCAATGAAAGTAAAATAATAGGGGTAACAGAAGCACAAAATATATCAAATGTGTTTTACATTATTAAGTGTTGTACACTTCTTATGCAAAAGAAAAAAAAAATCATATTGAGTTCTGAAAGCAAACAAACACTCAACCATGGATTATGATAAAACTAAAAATTCAATGTGAATAAATATATTTTTAAGGCGAATGAAGAGTTAGTTTAGTGATAACATTACCTAAGAAGAAGTCATGAGTTCAATCACTCACTTTAACAAAAAGTGAGGGGTTGGTTCTAACCTTTCTTACTGACACTTCTAGGGGCTTGTTCTGACTAACCCATTAATGAACTCTTGATTTTGTACCCGAGCTTGTCACTCTGGGCATGACTAAGGTGGTTTACCTCTCACTGTGATTTGCAGAATATTGCAGTGGGCATGGATTTACCCATCTCTTGTGGGGTTCCCGGCGTTATCAAAAATATATATATATATTTTTAAGATAAGGGAATTCTATTTATTATCGAGCAATTTTTATTGGTTATTTATTGTCTTTTCTTTTTTTTTTTAATAACTAAAAATGATCACAGAAACACGGCTGTATGATTTGACCAATTTCGAAAGTGATCGATTCGTTTATTCATCCAAAAAAAATATGTATATGATCAATTCGTTTTTTTAGCCCTTCAGAAACATTCTAGAACTTGGACAAATTTAAACAGTGAAAACCAAAAAGTGTTAAATGTGAAAAAAGTGACTAACACTTCTATAACAAAAAACAAGCAGATAAGAGATTGACAATTTTGGTCATCAAAATGGTAAAAACAGCTCTATGATTTTCACTTACAACATTTCATATTAGGCAAGAAAACAGATAATAAGCGATAAGGAGAATAGTTAATGGCCCAGTAGCTAGTGAGGACAAAGAACATTATCTTAGTTTATTCATAATCGATTCTCATTAAATTTGGAGAAAAAAGCAAAGTGACAAATACTGGAATTAAATTCGTGAAGGGCAGAACTGGCGCCCAGAGTACTATTCACTATTTCTCTTGATGGATAAGTGATTTCTGTGAGACAATCAGACAAATGTATTTGTTGAAGAGCTTTTCAAATGCTTAGAATATATACAGTTGAGAACGTGAAGATCAAGGATTTCGAGCTACAACTTCTATCTTCAAGCATATATGACATCATTGAGTTTTTTTTTTTCTCAAATAATCTCATCTTTAAAAATATTCCTTCAATGACCTAAATTCAAATCATATTCCGCTAATAATATTATTACTGCCAAGTCAAACTCCAAAGTCCAAATCAAGAATTAATTAAATCAATTAATTAGATAACCATTCCACATTTTTTACTTTTTCTCTCTCCCGTGTTTCCAGACTTCAAGTTTCTAACTTTATACTTCAAAACTTCTTTGAAGAATAAATCTGATTTGGAGACAATTGGCATCGGCCTTTTTTTTTTTTTTTGGTTGTCATACACTGATTATTTTCTCCTTGATATGAATTGGGTATTGGGATTTGAATTTTCCTTTTATTTTTATAGGTGAATGGTGGAAAGACAAAATTTTCATTATTGATAGGTTTTGGTGGATGGTAGAATTTTACGGCCCAGAAATTTTAGTCTACTTCCTTAATTTGTATAGAGTATCTTGAACCTTAATTACAATGATCAAGATATTGATCAGTACTGATGGTGGTGGCTTATTGTGCCTTCCCGGAAGAAAAAGATGAAAATGGAGGCTGATGGAAAGCAAGATTATGAGGCCGACTAAGTTGGAGCCTTGAGGTGGGCGTTAGTAAAACAAGGTGAATATAATGAGGGTAATTAAGGAAATATCAGTAGTAAAATTTATTAAGCAGTAATTAACAGCCACCAAAAGATCACGGAAGGATTTTGTTTTGAGTTTGAGTTATTTAGGCAGATAGTTTAACGCTTTGGGTTATTTTAGAAAAAAACTCTAAGATGATTGGGCAACTTATGTCACATTTATTACTTTGGGTCTAAATAAATGGTATGGGCCGGATAACTTATATCATTCTACAAAATCAGAAATTTCAATTTTGAGCTTCGTAGTATTTAAAACTCCTACTTATTTCAAAATAGTTTTTCAATTTAGATTTTTATTTCTAGTATTAAGTTTAAATTTGTATTAAAAATACAAATACACGGGAATTGTATTTTTTTGAGAAATAAAATTTATTAATTTATTGGAAACCGTCCAACAGCGATTGATAAGAAAAAATACCGCCAGAAAAACACAACTTATAATTGGCCATAATCATAGTGCCTTTGTTGTGTTTCATATGAATAAACCTATATAGATCTACTCTATCAAGTAATGGTTGTATCACGTGGCGAAAGAAAAATACAACACTAAAATCAGTTGAAACTCCCAAATCATAGATCTAACAACCAAATCTATGATGACTGAATCTTTTAGAGCCATACAAGCGAACCCCAACGAACTCGTCGCCGTACCTGCAAACATCACAAACAAAACTATCACCATACTAGCGAACATCACCAGGGAAACCGTCGCCATACCAGCGAACATCCATAAGGAAGTCGCCGCCATACCTAACTAGTAGGGAGATTATAATCTCACTTATTAAAAATAAATTAAACAACAATAAAAAGTATCAGAATTGGGACGGAATTATCTCCTCCATCCTTCCATGATAGAAAGATAAGGAAAAAGATGAAGTTTTTTTTATTTTAAGGTTTTAGGGTTGGAGAGGGAGAGAGGGGCGGCCGAGAGAGAATACGGGAAGTGTATTTGGATATCTTAATTGCATTCATCGGATCATGAAAAAGTTGAGGGGAATTTATGTGGGGCCTATACATTAAAAATGAAGTATTCCAAAAATGTAGTATATACTGAGTTTTTAATTTTGTACTATTTTTAGCATAAAATTGAAAACTCAACGAGAACCTTTCTTTATTTTTTTTAATACAGACTACAAAGGTAGTATTATTCACCAGGCGTATAGTGTGTGACTGCTAATTGAGGAATTCCTGTTAAGTGTATAGTGGGCGAACTGATGTCTTCTAAGTTACTAATTAATATAGCTGGAAAGGATTTCTTGCAAATAGTAGACGCTAGTAATTAGATAAGTTAATCCCACCCGTAGCATGAAAGAATCTTAAATCACTTAGTAATGATGGACACCTTACTAGCTATGTGCATGAAAGGAAAAGAAAAATGTTAATCACTTCTTCAAAGAATTCGAATTTCATGGCTAAGGAAGTCAAGATGAGTGTAATTAAGTATAGTCCTAATTTTCCTTTTTACTGTATAAATTTTCGATTTTGGAGGAGTATAATCTTGATGATTTTAATTTTTTCTCTCTTATAAGGGGGGAGAGAAAAAGAAAAAGAACTACTGATAAGAGTACTTAATTTTTATCAAATCTAAATTACTTTATGATATTTTGAGGGTTTGCTTTCTGATCATAGAGATCTACCCTTTAAATTACTAGGGTAATATTTTCGGACAATGAATGTGAATATATTAGGGGTTTTTAATTTTTTCTTTCCTTTTGAAATTATAGTTTTTTTTTCAATGAACTTTATGTATATGTGTATTCACATGACAACAAGTCAACCTCATATACAGAACGTTATTTTCTTCCTGCGACAATAATTTTAATTTGAAAAAAGAAATTACAATATCACGAATGAAAAATAGTAATAAACTATAAGGGTTAATTGTTTGGATGGAAAATAATATTCTCAACTAGTCAATTCAATTATTTGGACCGACGTCCTCCTCCTATAATTGTGAAATCATTTCATCACAATCACTTTTATCATCATCACCAGTTTCAGTACGTGAAAAGAAAGGGGCCACCATAGCATCTTTTATGCAAAAGAATCCATGGCGCACTCAGAACATTTTTTTGGGGTGTGATTTCTCTATCAAAAGAGCTAAAAAGCTGATGCACTACTACTATACTACCACTGCAAATTTAACAGAGATCTGCTATCACTGAAACAAGAGAGACTATAGCTTTACCTCTTCTACCTTACCTTTGCCATGTATTTTTGGTAAGTATTAATTTGTCTCCTGTGAGATTCTTGATGACAACAAGAACACAGAACCATGAATTTGCTCAACATATTCTTTGTGTAACTCATAATATCCACAAGGTAATCATCATCAAAAGAGATCTATTTTACAAAGAAGATAAGTAGATGCATGCATGGCTCAAGGGTGTCATCTAACTACAACCTTGATTTCTCTATTTAGTTTATTTTTGTCCATAAAATTTCGAAAAAGGTTTCTAGTTTCTCGAAATTGGCTTTTTCTCTATCATCTTTGAAATGTTTAAAATCAATCTTTTGATTAAACTTTCTGTTCCAATAAAGCATGTTTATAGTTATAGCATCTTCTGTGATATTTTGTGTAATATTTCCTGTGACACTGATCAAATAATTAGAGTTTAAGTAAATTAATTATTAACACCCTAACCAAATAATAAGTGAACCCTGTTTGACAAGTGATTAAACACGTCTCAAAATTTTAGTCAATGTCACAGAAATTGTAACGTAAAGTGTCATCGAAGATTTTTTGCCATATTCATATATATCAATTTTAATTTCGATTCAAATCACGCATGATCTACACATTGTTGGACATGGTTTTTAACCTTGCATATCTTTGTATTAACGCGATGACTACCATGCATAAAACTTTTGAAACCTTCTTTTGTTTCAACTTTTTTTGCCATTCAATCGTGATTTGGTGCACGAGGTGTTCTAGGCACGTATCTATCACACATCAAAAAGAAAGAAAATCATTCTTCCGCGCTTTAACATTTATATCCCTCATTTAATTTTTTTTTTCTTCTTTTTCTTTCGGAAAGAGATCCTACTAGTTGATCGTTGCTGAAAAGTTAAAAGGAAGACCCAAAAAGCAATTTTAATTTCTACTTTGGAACCTGACATAATTAAATATAGGAGCAGATACCATAACCAATGAAAAATGTCTCAAATTCAACAGTAGCTATACCTACACTAATGGAAAAAACCAAACAAAATTAACAATAGAATAATTATTTATTCACACCTGAAAATCAACAAGTAGCTAGCTAAACGATGATAATGAAGCTGCGCAACTAAATTTGTGAAAAAAATAACATATTTAAAAGGGAGCATTTTCTTCACCAGAATCCACGGAAGAAGAGAGAAACTTTCATTGATTTTCACATCACTAGATCGCATATATATAGTGATGAAGTGTAAATACGCATTTTTCAGTTGGATTCAGGATTTGGTCCACTTGGAACTTCATGAGCAGCCATACCAAATTGTCTATCTTCACTAGCAACATCTTCATTTTCATCATCTCTAGCAGAAGTACTACTCCCTGTAGGGAGATCTTGATGGCTTTTTTCGTGGTCATCATGAGGAACTCTCATGGTGGATTTCTGGTTTGTAGGATCATTAACCTCCAAAAGGGATCTTCCTCCTCCTGAAACAGAAACTGTAGACGCCACAAACATCCCTGAAAAATCACGACAATCGCCCGAACACAGCGAATTCGCAATCAAGAACATTGCAAGAAGTAAAAGGGCTATTTGGGAAGAAGATTTTGCCATGAAAATGAAGAGTTTAAGATGAATAAAAACCCCCTCCCAATGTTCCTCAGGAGATCAATATCCATGAACCAATTGGACTACCAAGTTTGAAGCTGTTGAGGAAGCAGGAAACAATAATTGTTGATTATGGTTTTTTTTAAGGGAGAGAGAAAGAGAGAAAGAGGAAGGGTTTTTGAATGTCAAATAAACATGTCTTGATTTTTAATTTGTAGAGCTTTGAACAGCTTCCTCACCAAGGAGACATATATGAACATCATGTGACCTAGTACTTTTTTGATCTTATGGTGTCCGGTCTCTTTAGTCTTGAATTTACAATGATATCCTTTAGAGGTTGAATGTCTCCAAACCTAGATTATAACGGCTTCTCGATTCACACTTTTACACATGCAAACCATATTATTTTCTTTATTCTTTCCTAAAAAACCATACTATTACACAGTGGATTTATGGGGAAGGAATTACTACTTTGCATGGCATCGGGACTTGACAAAATGTGGTGAAGTTCGTGTGTTTAGTACATTATTTAACGGTTAAGCCTGTGGTAATCGGACTTGTAATCGCTTGAAATAAATCAAGCAACGCTAATTAATTGGATAAGCACTTTTTTTTCCTAAACAAAAAAAGATTAATTTTGTTACCATGCGAAAAATGCATAGTTTGTATACATCATATTCGTGTTACTTCAACATATCAAAGTCTACTAATTGGATGACTTGTAACTCCCTGTCACACATAGTGTTTTTACACTATTATTTGCTTCTTCCTACAGTTAAATTTACAAAAATATTTTTCTGATTTTGGAACTGCAAAAGTGACTAATCCACTTTTTTCTGGTGTAGGAGATCTTTTGTCTGATTTTACTCGTCGAATTGTTGCGATAAAATTTTAACTCGTGATAATTGATAAAAGTCTACAATCAGTATTGACTATAGCAAAAATGGTTATAGGTCTTAAAAGCGAATGTTTTCCTTAAGATATCCCTTGTAATTACAATATTAATTCTCACGTTTTCTGTTCAAAAATATAGAATAATAATGCTGAAGTCTTGCGGCCTACTTTGGTCAATTTCGAAAAAGAGAAGATAAAAGGGGATCTGGTGATGAAAGAAAGGAGGAGAAGCAGAAGAAGAAAGAATGCTGGATATATGGCTTTTTCTCGGTTGGACTCTTGCATAAGAAAATATTCATTTTTTGACTTGGAGGCAGAGGGGCCTTAGAAAATTACATTTGAGAGAGCTTGATTGCCTTTTTATCAAAATCATATAATTTTATAAAGATCATATTGATATGAGAAAAAAAAAAAAAAGCAATCTAATCCACTTATTTTTTTTTTTGGAAAATACAATATAATCCACTGGTTTTGCTGCTTGTGAAATTTCCAGTAAATGTCTCCTTAATTGGATGCAAAGGTCCCACTTTCCTTTGAGAAGAAGAAGCTGCTCATCTAGAGAAGAAAACATTGCTTTTCTTTGGACATTTATGCTAGTCTTGTTAGCATGCATGTCTAAAAACCTTTTATTCGAAATTTTGGGATAAAATAATTCCATCAGCAATAACTCTTTTGTCCAACTATGATTATCTTATTTGTTATATTATTTTTAATATATTATACGTAACAAATAAAATAATTATTTTATATATTATACGTAACAAATAAAATAATTATTTTAAAATAAATGAATTACAAGAAAAGCTGAAATACTCCAATGTCTCTTCTGTTTATGAACAAATTTCATGTTGTTACAAATTTCAATTAGACTCACATAGAGTAGAGAGATTTTGTCTAGTTGAATTTAAACATAACCTTATATATAAGAGTGATATGAAATGAGAGGGGGAGGGGATGATAAATGACATAATATGTGTCTAATCGATGGCCAAAAATGAGGGCCAACAAATTAAATCAACAATAATGCGATATTTACTCTAGCTAGCTACCCTCTCTATTAATGTGGTAGGAAACGACTGTATATAACTAACTTTATGAGTGAAACTTGTAGGAAAAACTGTTTTAAACTTGTACTGAAGAATGCAAAATTCTCGTTATATTAAATTTTTCATTTTACGGAATTTTTGTGATCTTTTGGGGGAAAAAAAAAAATCTTCTTGCTGGAATTTTCTCGTTAATTTCCAAAAGAAAGTCGAGTCAAAATTTAAGAAAAATCTTGTCCATTAATCGAGCAATCTGTCCTAAAAGAAAATGAATATTTACAAATGTCAAACAAATACATTATTTATAGGATGATTGTCGAACTAGGGACCTCTATGTCTCTCATTGAATGAACAGAAGATGGAAAACTATCGTTACTTGTTTCATGGCAAACAAACTGTCGTTTTACTTTGTGGGAAATGCAAATTAACAATGCAATGTTTCCGTATGCTCAAATTGGTCTCCATTCGACTCTTGTATATATATACATATATTTATATATATATTTCTCCCGAAAGATAGAAATCTCTTAATTAATACTCCCTTTGTCCTATAATTATTGTTCAGTTTGAGTTTTCATTTATAAGTCAAATTGAAAAAGAAATCTCAAACTGGACAATAATTTTGTGACAGAAAAGCATTATCTATTGGTTCAAGTGGAATTTTGGTATTGCTTATACAATTTCAGTGCAACACACTAACAAGTATAAATTAAAATTGATTGATTTCTTGTTCTCTTTTTGTATATACAAGTTTAATTACCCTTTAATCCAGCACATTAACAAAATCTCTGATTATCGAGATGATGATGGGTACACGTCCACTCGACAAGAAACTTCTAGACATAAAATCAACAACAAATTGACGTATGCATGGGAATGTATTTCATAATCAATTAATTTCAACGTAAGAGATCTTATGCTATCATGTGTATGACTTTTATCATTTGTCATTTTGCTTCTTTTTTCTTTTGATAGTAAATTATATCAATATTATGCATATTTTTGAGGTTGCAGATTGCGGCCGCGACAAAGGATCTTAACTTAACAACTACTCCCTCCGTCCCATAATTATTGTCCAGTTTGAGTTTTTATTTTTAGTTCAAATTGTACTGAAAGTTAAATTTCAAACTGGACAATAATTTTGAGACAGAGGGAGTATCAATTATAGTACCTTATAAACAACCACCCAAATCAACATCGGCCATCAGAATCATAGTGTATATAGATAATTAAGCAAATATTCAATGAAATACTTTTTTACTACGGATGAAATGCTAATATTTCATTGATGGATGTAATTGGACTTATTACAAAGATATCCAAATTAAATCGGTAAAAGTCCTTTAAGGATGTAAATAATCCCATCTAATCAGTCTGTTAATCAAAAATATGAGAAGCCTGTCATATATTTTTTTTTTTGAAACGGTGAAGCCTGTCATATGTGTCTCCATAGTTTCTACGTGATTTTGAATTTTTTTTGAGATGATGCAAATGTTGCACAAATATTTTTTAAACATGGTAGCAAAAAATTCTTTACCAAAGCCAAAAAAAGAAAAAAAAGAAAAAGAAAAAAAAGTAGTTATGTCTTTGATTGCAAAAATTTTACAGTATTTTCTCGAGTTTTGTGAGTTTTTTTTTTGTTTTTTTTTATATTTTTTTTAATATCAATAGCTTGAGGAGTGGCGAAGGAAGATGGGATGTGCCGAAGAGGAAAGGATGTAATATTGTAAGGAAAAATTTGAATGACGGGCACTGGACATGTTTAAATTAATAACAAATGAAAAGAGTATGACTTTAAAACAAATTTAATTAGGAGCAGTGATTTACTCCTAAAATAAATAAATCCTAACGTGTGCTTCTTCGAAAATATGTTTCATTATAGAAGTACACAAAATCAATCAAATTAATTAAATCCTAACGTGTGCTTCTTCGAAAATATGTTTCATTATAGGAGTTCCTTTTGTCTAAACAAATTCTCGGTTGATACTAAGTCGAGACTGGAGTGGTTTTTATTTTTCATCGTACGTACCTATCAGAATTCAGATGTCTTAACAATATATTCTACAATATTTTAACCACTATTCTGAAAGAGTTTGAAAAGGCACATTCAGAATTTCTAGTTTACAATTCGGCAAAGGCCCTTCTTCCTACTTTCCGAATGGATAAAAAATATATAAAAATAAATTTAAGAGGAGCCACAGAAAAATGACTAAAATTTACTTTAGTCTTGAGTTTTTGGAAACTTGATGTGATTGAGATGTATGGGAAGGGAATTATGTTTCTTGAATATTTTGCTTGAAGATTTTTGAGACGGAACTCAAAACAACGTAGGAAGTTGGTTAGTATTTAATTAATCTTATTACTTTGAAACAAGTTAATTCCCATGAAAAAGGATTTATTTTTTCATTTTTTGGTATAATAAATAATTAGAGAAATGATATCATTGCACAAGTGTTTTGAATTTCTAATTTATGATGAATAAATTACTGCCATATCTACTGTCTCTTATCAAAATTTTCCTCATATCGTAATTGTAATGTAAGTGACAGTGGGATACATCGCGGAGTCAAAAAAACTCTCTATATTTTAGAAAAAGACAATGAAAGTATATATAAATGGAAAAATTACTATGAGAAAGATTCCAATTTGATGGTAAATGCTCATGAGAAAAGTGAGAGTAATTTTTTTTTGGGAGGAAAAAGAAAAATTTCATTCATATGTTAAAAATCGTCCAACTGCAGTTGACAGTACAATTAAAGAAACAGTCAAAACACAACTTACAAAAGATTACAATCATATTGTTATGTTTGTAATGGATAAATCTATACAGATTTACTCAAGTTAACGATGGACTTATTGCGCACCGGAATTCAGATCCAATTAAGGACGTATCACAAATTATCATATGAAAATTCCAAATTACAAATCTAATAAATAAACTTGTGACGGCTGATTCTTCACAAAAATACAGTGCACAACAAACTTGCAAACATCACAACGAGATCACGAATACTACAAACGACATATCCTACCAAGCCCTCAGTTAGTAAATTACAATCTACTGGGAGAATACTATAATTAAAAAAAAGTACCCTATCCTATCAGTAGATAAATCTACTGAAGGAAATTTTTTGGGGCTAATCCCCTTTATTGGATACCAAAAAGATGAATGATAATACAATTAACTATTTCTCTATTAAGATAAAAACTATTTCTCTATTCTTTTATGGTGGTAAGATGGGGAAGAATTTGGGAAAATATTTTATGTTGAGGGGAGTAGGAGAGTAGGGTGGTGGCCAAGGGAAAAGGAGAAGAGTGAGAGGGACTCAGGAAAAGAAATTACAGATAATCAAATGAAAGGATAAGTGCCCCTATGATTTTTTTTTTCTATTGCAAAAAAAAAAAAGAAAAGGAAAAAAGATAGAAAAGGAGAGAGAAAAGATACAATTAACTCTTGATTGGTTAGCTAATATGCTTTGGCTTAATTTAGTGAAAAATTTTATTTTCTCCGTCTTAGGAAAATAGTCTAAATTCTAAATTACGAATTGAATTATTTCTCGTGTAATTTTTAATTTACAACGTGAATATTTTTCTCGGACAGATGAAGTATTTTTTTTAAAAATAATAATAATAAAATCAAATGTAAAATAATAGATATAGGAGGAAAAAGCAAGTCTATATTATCTTTGTAACCACGACCTTAGTCAACTTGAGAGGAGCTAATGACGCTTCCATATCAAGGGTGAAGCTAGGTCCCGAAGGACTGATGGAGCAAGATTTTTAATATTACTAATTTAATATACTTGTCTTAATATTGTTAATTTAGGTGTAGCAAAACCGATTTTTCTAAAGAAAAAAATCCTAAAACTTTAAGGGGTGATAACCATTTTTTTTCCAGCTGGAACAATTGCCTCACCAACTTTGTATGTGGCGCCGCCCCTATTCCAAATCTTATTGGAAATTTTTTATTCATATGTGTGTGTGTGTGTCTTATATATATATATATATATGTATATATATATGTATATATATATATATATATATTTCTTAAACAAACTATCAAATTACTCTCTAATCCAAAATTCATTACAACAGAAGGAGTCCTTAAGGGGAAAAAATTTCTTTCTCTTTTTTTTTTTTCTAAAACTTTCCTTAAAAATGCATGTTTGGAAGCCTCATCTCGCATCCTTTGTACCTTCCAATTCTTCCTGAGTGTCCTGCTTCAAAATCGCATTTGGGCGGTGGTTAATTGTTGTCAGTTTTCATTTCTTTCAATTTTGTCACAAATTTCGTCGGTTCATGGTACATGATACAGTCATTATAAATTCCAGTTCTAACTAAGATTGTGGATAATATTACACTTTGATATTGTCAACCGGATAATATTTATTGATGTAGAAATAAGCAAGCGTCATTTTCCCGAGGATTACCTCAATCCTCCCATTCTCCTTTTGTTAGACTAATAGTTGGATAGAGCATGGTGGTTAGAACGTCGGGAAATGGAACTTTAACAATGACCTCTTTAAAAAAATTTGGATCCCGATTCAGTAAAACACCCATCAGCATTCCACCAGCACTATCTTCTAGTGATGCATAATGTTTAACTAGACCAATAATTATTTTCTATCAAATAATCCGCACATGCTATGTATTTGGTAAAAGTAGTTTCCTTTTCCATCAACATCCAATGCTCTTTCCACTCATTTCCTATTTCACCCCCTCCACAGACATCAACAACCCCAAAGATCCAACTTTTGTCTGTCAAAGGAAACAATGATATATCAAATGCAAAGACCGTGATATCCACATAAGCGCCATAGGCCTCTAAAAACAATGGATGACGTCCCGGATGTTCCACTGTATCTTTTCTAGATCAATCTTTTGCTGGTGCAAGTAGTCTTTTAGTTTCATAGCTATTTATGTTATAATCTTTGTATTCTTTTCTTCATTGGTGGTCAAAGTAGCTCTGGTTGGAGATATAAAAATCTTGGATGTCTCATCATCCACTTTGTCATTTCGTACTTTATAAGCAGAAGTCGTTTTTCTTTCTCTTCGAGTACTCGACTAAAATATTCACAAAAATTAGCCAGATTTGCTCTCAATTTATTTATCTTTAAAAATTCTTCAAAACCCTTCATTATTCTTCCTCTAGTATCAGTGATGAATATAAAAATAGTCAGAAAATATCAATTCTAATATGTTGTGTTAGTTTGTTAGGTCAAACTAACTCAAATATGTAGGTGAAACAAAAAATTTTTTTTTCTCTATAAACTTTATGACAACCATGTGACTCTTTTGGGATTATTCACATAGATACACACTAATTGGGATGGCAGGGTAATGAATAAACACTAATATCCTAGAGAATTTTGAATTTAATCACAATCGCTAAAGGATGTGAAGATATTATAGGTAGATTGTGAATATCACCAACTTACAATTAAATTAATTAGAGTGATCAACATCAAGAGTCTGTGAGGTTAATGAGGAATATAAATCACATGGTCACTCATGGTACAACAAAAATATAAGCAAAAGCCATGAGTAAGCTAATAAAATCCACAAATTGAAATTTTCTTAAAACCATTGCAACCACATGAAATACCATTGCTTTTTATATTTACCACATAGAAAAGTTTTTGTTTCATATATATTTTTTAAAAAAAATTTTTATAAGCATGAGTGAATAACATCTCATAAAAACATATTTAGACTTTTATGAAAGGAATTATTCTCTTTAACAATGAAACTACAACATATTTCATTCTAGTAAGGCCCCCAAAAAAAAAAAACCTTGTAATAGCTCTAGACTTATAGGGAACTCACTGTTAAGGATAAACAAGAGAGATTATTCAAGTAGACTATAGTTCTTTGAATAGATGATAAAGGAAGTTTAAAGTGATATCTCTGTTATTGTATCAATCTTATACTCCCTCCGTCCCATAATTATTGTCCAGTTTTACTAAAATGAAAGATTTTATTTTTGGTTAAACTTAACTATATTTTACCTTAAATAACCGGATATACCCCTACATAAGTAATTGTTTAACCACTAAGATTTTATGGATAATGTTTTTTACTAAGGACAAATGTGTAACTTGATCCATAAAAAGTCAAATTGGACAACAATTTTGGGCAAAGTGGACAATAATTATGGGACGGAGGGAGTAGTATATTTACGCATCGTCATGCACATTATACATACTATAAAGAAATGGTTCTTTGTTGACTACTCTCTTGTAGTACATAATGGTGTATACATAATGTACAAGTATAGAGATAAGCTACTATAAGAAAGATATAACAATAGAGATAAACTTTAATGTAAACACCCTTTATCATCTATCTAATGAACCATAGTCCATCTCAACAACCTCTCTTGAGTCTTGATTATCCTTATCACTCACTATAATATGTTATTTGGGTATTAAAACATTTGATCTTATTACTAATGGCCAATTCAAAATCTTAGGAACTTTTCATGGCCAAAATTCCTTACTTATTAAATGATACTCATTGCTTTGTTTCCCATATATGTCTTCACATAACAAAAAGAAAAATGTAATGTTTGTTACTTAAAATATTAGAATTTTCTTAATTTATAGTTAATTCAAATTGTCTCATTCAAGTCATCCAAAAGATAAAATTTTGTTAATATTCCAACTTTTTGTATGTTTGATAAAAATTATTAGTGCCTAATGTTTAAATAGAAATTTGGGATTCACTAAGTAGTTACAAAAGAAGTATTAAGTTAACGTTAAAGCTTATATTTTGTTTTTTTGGTTAACTATTACTTATATTTTGTACTAAAATTTAAGTATATCTTAATTAGTTAAGAGATTAACTTAATTGTTTCAAACACGTTGAAATGAAAAAACAATTAATCAAACAATTTTAAACCACAAACAATTGTTATCAAACAAGAGTTAGTTTCACCATACCTTTTCAAACCACAAATCCAAACTAGGAATGATTTTCAAATTTTGGTTAAGAAAAAAAAACCAAACCACAGATGACATTTGATTCTGTTCGCAATCAATTTATTTGATTAGCTTTGTCATTTTCTTTTATCTCTTTTTCCCTAACTTTGCCGTTAAATGTATTCTACAATCGACAACTTAAATTTCTGAGAGTTGGTTATCTCTTGCGGTTTTTGTACATTCATGAATCATGTGTTCCAAATATAAAAATAGTTATTACTTTCTCTGTCACAAAATTATTATCCAGTTTGAGATTTCACTTTTAGTATAATTTGAACTAGAAATGAAAACTTAAACTGAACAATAATTATGGGACGGAGGGAGTATTATTTTCTAGTGACGCGACAAGATCAAGAAGGAGAATGTGTGAAATGCCAAAAACTCAATGCCAAAATTCAAATGGCCTGTCCAATCATTCAGGCTTATTTTGGCGTAAAATTTGTAGTTAAAAAGAGTAAATTTTTTCTGTACATTCCAGTTTCTTCATGTACCAAAGGGTACATAATCCAACGTTTTAAGGGCAATCTGTAGTTTCTCTAAACTTCGGAGAGGTCTATGTTATTAACCAAAAATCCAACTGTCTGAATTTTGAAGAATCTGAAGCTCAACTCTGCAATTGAACTAGAAATATCTGGCATTTGCCATTTTCCCCTTTGCTTCAGAAAATCTGAAGCAGAAATGTCATCAACACTGTCCTTGTGTTTCAACCTCAACCCACCTCAGTCATTCCCTAGCAGAATTCAGCATGACCCATTTCTGAATTTCCCTTCTCCTTCTTCTTCTTCTCTGGGTCAAGATTCTGTAACCAAGTATTCACATGTTCGGTTTACATTTTCGCCTCCGAATTCAAACGGTGGCAACAACCCTTTAAGCTATGGGCCTCAAGAAGAGGCCAGATGGCTCCGGGAAGAACAACGGTGGCTCAGGGAGGAGCAGAGATGGCTCCGTGAGGAGTCACGGTGGAAAGGTGAAAAGGAAGCCCTTTTGATTGAAATTCAGAGGCTAAGTTTGAGGATACAAGAACTTGAAGCCCTGAATTCCGCACAACAAGCTTCTGTCACTGAGGCTATAGCTAATATAGCAAAGCTTTTGCAGGTATACAAGTGGGATTTTGTGGAATTGCTCAAATTGTTTATGTAGGATCAGATTTTATTGTTGGTTGAATTTTTTGGATTTTTGGGGGGAAAAATAAAAAATCTTTTATGATGGAGTAGTGCTGTTAAATTAGTGAACATGTTAGTTTGATTGCAGGTTTTAAAGGAAGGGGAGCTGGGAAAAAATATTAACATAATTTCTGGGAACAGTTCAAGTGCTCTGCCATTTGTGGTGGACAGTGTACAGAAAGATGACGAAGTGATAATAAAAGAAGTTGTTAAACCTCCAGAGGCAGAGAACAAGGTAAAGAAGAGGGCACCACTGAGGATGGGGTCGGAAGGAGATGATGTGCAAGCAATGCAGGTTATTTTTCTCTCAATTTTGGTTTCTGTTTTGTAGTAAATCATCCAAATCCATGTTGCTTTTTCTTTGATTTTCAATTTCATATTGTAATTAGCCATGTTCCCGTGGTATGTAAGTTCTGGTTTTGTGTATAAGTTCGGAAGGAGATTACAATGTTTTTCAATTTGGGAAATGAGAAGTCTAAGTGCTGAAGGGTTTTGATATGCACCAGTTTGCGAGTCATGTTTTTGCTAAAAGGCAAAAATTCCTCCTTTGAAAATTGATTTATTTTTGTCAGTGAAAATTTGAAGACCAAGAGACTTTTCTCTCGTGTATTCCAAGTCTTCATTTGAGATATAGTTGTGATTAAATACATTCAGAAGCAAGGTATTCTGACAAAAATTGACTTTTGAACAGGAAATTGAAGTTGATACGCAATATAGTTTAGAGAGATTACTTTTACACTGAATACTTATACCAGTTCATCAATGGACATCAAAATGTCAGACACATGGCAGGAATGATTAATGACAATAATGCTTCATCAAGGCAATTACATTAAAAGACTTTCCTGCTGTTAGAATGTAGTCTCTAGTTCTTGATTCTTTTTGAAGTAAACTCTGTTGATTGGCAAGGTATAGGATCATTAGTTTTGAATTATGCTTGTACAATTTATTAGATGTATAATTGAATGTTTAGATCCTTTAGTCAAACTCCAGCAGTCCAGACGTTGAACTCAACTGAATAGCAGGTTATAGAAGAAAGGCTTCAGTTAGCCAAATTTTGCTAATATGATCTGTTGGTTTCCCTTGATAACTTCTCATTCAGGCGCCCCATTGTAACATACTAAGATTCTGTGCTGCAATATACTACTATTCTGATCAATTGGATTCTTTCCTAGTAAAGGGTCTAACTGTTTGCTTCTTACATTGTTTTTGACACTTCCAATAGCAAGCACTACAAAAACTGGGATTCTATTCTGGTGAGGAAGACATGGAGTTTTCCAGCTTCTCGTCTGGGACTGAACGAGCTGTAAAAACGTGGCAAGTAAGTTAAGACTTACAGTCTCTGAGAAAAAAGTCATGAAAGGTTAGTACTAATAAAAATCTTTTGCTTTCAGTCTTCACTTGGTGTTCTGGAAGATGGGATCATGACTGCAGATCTTCTTGAGAGGCTATTCGCAGATCACGAACTTGGCGAACATAGTTTGACGGAAAGAAAAAGTCCTGAAGAATCTGATATTAAAATCCCAGAGAAGGTACATTCTACAATCTCCATATACATTGAATACATTGAATTTAATGTCTATGCTTTTTCCATACCAAAACATATTATCGGATGATTAAACTTACTAAGATTTTACCTCCTTTATGTTTTAGAAGGGTGCAAATGGAGCCGCTACAGCTTCCATAACCGAAATATCAGAAGTTGAGAAAACTGTTGTCAGAAAAGGAAGCGAGACAGAAGTTGACGTGACTAAACATCGAGTTTTTCTTCTTGGAGAAAACCGGTGGGAAGAACCTTCAAGGCTTACTGCAGGTAGAAACAAACCACCTGAAACCAAGAGTGGCAAAACTACGATAAAATGTCTTACTTGTCGTGGAGAAGGCCGCTTGTTGTGCATGGGTAAAAAATTTCTTTCCCCTATTCCCTGTTGAACATTGTAACTCTGCTTTTCTCCTCGGGATCTTTCTCAGAAAGACTCATCTGTTACACATCACTCTTTCGTGAACTATAAATACTTTTGGCCAATTGAAGTATTTAATCAGTTTTAACATAGAAGATAAATGCCATTATAATCTTTAGTCATACATGTAGATTAGTGCTATCTGAGACGAAACAGTGTGTGAACTTTTCATCAATCCACCATGACCCTGTACAAATTGTAATTGTATTACTATTCCCTTTTTCTTTGGCGCAATTTTATACACATCTTTTCATGTTTGAGTAAACTTCTAACATTTTCATGAAAAATGAAAACTTAAACTCCATCCTTTTAGGTGAAATAATGGTTTTTCTAGTTCTATTGTACAACACACGAGATACACAAAACTAATGTAAACTTCCCCGTTTCTGTGCAGAATGTGATGGAAGTGGTGAGCCAAACATTGAGCCACAGGTTAGTCATTAGTGTGAATTATTGACTGTAATAAACTTGGATTTACTTATTTGTCCAACATGCTAATCACTGCTACTACTTTTTGCCTGTCATTTTAAAATCTTCTTTTGTGATTGCAGTTTATGGAATGGGTTGATGAGGGAACCAAGTGTCCATATTGTGAGGGTCAAGGGCACATAACTTGTGATGTATGTGAAGGTAGAAAGGTCATAGAAGCATAATCACTTTATGCGTATACAAGTAACCTGTTCATAGATCATTGGGTAGAAAATTAACTTGTATACGGAATTACGGATAAATGTATCATGTATGCAAGAGAAAACATAACGTGTTATTCATGTATCGATCCGGAAATAAATAATATGAATAACTTGTTTATCATTCAAATAAATGAGTGTATGATTTATTCAGCTCAATGAATCATGTATCAAAAAGGGTTATACAATCATATGTTCAATTCTCAACATTTCAAAACAAAGGAATACTATAGAAACAGTAGAGTGTTATAACCAATCATTTCAATGTTGCACTTAAACTCTACTTTAAGCATAATTGCTAGATTGTGTCACATACCACATAATTCATGAAAGATTAAGATTAAAACCCTTTATATCTGAATAGAGTTAAAGTTATTGGTCCAGGTCAATACATTTTACTTTTGAAAGATTAAGATTCAAACCCTTTATAATAATCATCGTATTAGTATCGGAAACTTAACAATAATACTTATTGGGAGAGTTTTACCTTAGATCGGGATGTACGAGAACAGTTGCAAATGCACCCTAAAAGGTTTCTTCTTTGCATGAAATTTATCCCAACCAGTATTAAAAAAAAACCTCTGTAATCAGTCAAAGAGTCGGCAGAAATAGTACACCTGGAAATCCATATCCATCTTGTTCTATTCCCTTCCAAATGATAAAATTTTAAGCACACTATAAATCATTTCCTATGAAAAACCAGCCACGTCTCCTTCACTCTACACACGTCCACTGTCCACGTGTTGCTCTCCCATTACCGCCACCCTCCAACCCTTTTCAAAACTTCCTCTATATGTATCTTCACCAAAATTAACTTCCATAAAACTGCTAAAGTTGGAACTGATCCAGCAAAAAATTTCCAAACCAAAGCAAATTTGTCTTTTCCCTTTTCTGTGATCAATTTTGTTTGCTAGATTGAAGATGGAATCCCAATTACATCGCCCTGCTGAACAACACACATATGATGCTGATCCTCATGCTGTCGGATTACACTCTGGTAAACAAAAAGAGAAATAACCTTAAAAATCTTGTCTTTCTGTTTCTTGAAAAATCTTGCTTACTGATTATGGAATTTTTTTTTTTTTTCTCCTGGTGAAGTTGTGGAAGATGAGGGTGATCAACAGCATCATGAGAAGAAATCTGTACTGAAGAAAGTGAAGGATAAAGCAAAGAAGATCAAGGATAAACTCACACATGGTCATGAACAGGAACATGGTCAAGTACAAGAACGCGATTATCAACATGATGAATATGAAGAAGCAGAGGAAGGAGATGATGAAGAAATGGTTCAAGACCCTGAAATCCATGGTGCCCCAAGTATGCTCTTTTCCCGTTCTATTCTGTTTTTAAGTTATTGGTTTTTTAGGATCAATCATCATTGTTCATTGTTGTTGATGATTTAGGCTGAATTACTTGAAGAAAAATGGTCTAATTGTGAGAGGGTTCTAATTTTATTGCAGTGTATGAATCAGCAGCTATTAAGAATGCAATGCCTGCTCCATCTCGACCTCCCAATTTGGAAAATCCCTCATCGGTAAAGGAAGATCGATATGATCATGATCCTAATAGGAGTGATCCAATCGAAGGAAAAAATGTTGAGTTTGGACAGGAGAGGCCTAAACTTGGTACTGTTCTTGCTGGAGGACTCCGGGAAGATCCTCATGCGCCAAAAAGCCATCCGGGTGAAGACGTTCCATCTCCAAATTACGAAACTAAAGTAACTGATCCGTCTGGAAAAGGTGGGGAGGAAATTGATGTTAATCCATTGGTCAGTAAATTTGATAAGATGGGCGTTTCTGAGGAAAAAAATACAGGAACAGAATCGGAACAGGGGAAGTATGCTGGAAGTCATGATCAGTTACTCCCTCAATCTACACCAACTGAACGTGAATTTAGTCCCACCGGAAAATCAACATCCGATCAAACCAGCACGGGTGGAGGCTATGTCGAGAAGATATCAGTGGCTACTTCAGTCTTAGCTGATAAAGCAATCTCTGCCAAGAATGTGGTGGCTTCCAAGTTAGGATATGGTGGTGCTGAGGAAAACAGAGGCCAAACAGAGCAGCAAAGTAGTACAGGACAAACAGGGGCTCCGGCTCCGGCAGGATCACCAACGGGGTATGTTCAGAAAGCTGCGGCTACTGTGTCGGAAAAGCTGGCTCCTGTCTACGGGAAAGTCGCCGGTGCCGGAAGTGCTGTGGTGTCGAAAGTGAAAGGTACCGGAGCATCAGGTCAAGGACAAGAAGGGACTGATAAAGGGGTTTCGGTGACGGAATTTCTGGCTGAGAAACTGAAGCCCGGTGAAGAAGATAAGGCCCTTTCCGAGGTAATATCAGACACCCTTCATAGGAAAAAAGAAGGGTTAACTGAATCAAAACCAGTGCTCGGAAAGGTAACTGAATCAGAGGAAGTGAGGAGGAATTTAGGGAGTGGAATGGAGAACAAGAGAGAAGGGGAGGATGCCATTGCTGCCGGAAAAGAAAGCGTCGGAACCGGCGGTGGAGGTGTGATGGATAAGATCACGGGGGCTGTTACTTCATGGATCACCAAAGGAAACGAGCAAGAATATACCAAAGGAGCAGCCGATTCTTCTTACAGTAATTAATTAATGATCTATGTCCAAGTTTTTTGCATTTTGAAAAATTTCTTTTTTCTTTTCTTTTTAATAATTGCTTGTTTTGTTTGCAGTGGATAATCAAGCTTCTCGTACTACTGGTGAAGTTGGACATCAGCCGGAGGTTGCTGCCGGCGATCAACGGAGGCTTCAGGAATCCGGCAACTGAACGAAAGAGACTCCAGCCACACAATAATTAGTTGTGGCAAATCTATATGTTTTCTTCCTTTTTTCTTTTTTTTTCTTAAATACCGGTTTGTGTAGTTTTCGTAGAATGTACAAATGTTCAGATGTGGTTCGGTTATTGTGGCGTTGTTATCTCTTTTCAGTGACATCTTTGGTTTTGTAAATGTTTAGACGGTGGCTGTTTCTGTAATCATCTATTTCGATCAGGTTGCCTTTCCAGTGGACGTAAAATTTCCTTAGGAAAACATAAATTAGAATTAGATTTGATTTCGAAATTATTGTTTCGACTAATCTGGATTCGAGCATTTTGTGTTCGAAATTATTGTTTTGACTAATCTCGACTAATCTGGATTCGAGCACTTGGTGTTATTGTTTCGACTAATTTAAATTCGAGTCCGGTAGTTTTCTTTCGGGAAACAAAACTTTCAACAACAAATATTTTAATGATTATTGTATTTATGTTCAATTTTGAACACCGAGTCATAGTTAAGTTGGTTCAATATTTTTATTACTTGGATCAAATGTATATTGATAATTAATACTCTTTCATGATTGTGTAGTTTGGAAGAAAATGATTGTATACTTTGGAACATTAGTATAAATTGTATTAAAAATAAAAATTCAATCTGGATTGTAATTTTGGGACGGGAAATTATGATGAGAGTAGAGTTTGCACATAATGACGTATATGATCAAAGTCCATGAAAAATGGTAGTAGCATCACAAATATCCGATGAAAATGGGCAGTACAAAAGTCCTTTGTTCAACGTATCGGTGTCTGGAATCTTCTCCTGCCATTATAAGAGCAATAATACTTGTGCCTGATGCATTAGCAAAGAATACACTCAAATAAGATAAGGGATTATATATTTTTTTTTTTATGTCGTCCCGATTTTATTACTATGCTAGTATGCTGCTAGAGAAAGATTCTAAAAGTACAGGAATGTGTACTTCTACAGTTTCTTTCTTCTTTTTTTTCCTTTTTTTTTTTTGGTGGGGGGGGGGTTCATACAGAAACAGTACATCAGGAAGGCTGTGGGCTAGATTATGAACATCACTTAGGCTATAAGCTTATCATTTCTTCCTATTGTTAATATAGGCTTCGTCTGTTTCTGCCATAATCCATATCATCAAACTCCAGACTACGAGTAGGTTTTTTCATAAACGAAGTAAGGTGGTAAATCTCATAAATAAATTTACACAAAAAAAAAAAAAAGCATTTAGAATAGCGATCCAACAAGCTTTATGGAGATTGAAGCAATGGAAGAAGACGAAAGAGAAAGGGCAGTCTCCTGTACATCTGAGGTACTAAGCCCCTGATGTCAATTTTATGAAGCATAATGTCTTTGTGATTTGTTTAAACAAAATTTTCTATTGAGTCATATAAACCTACCACAGACATGATCGATGAATATTACTGTTTATTAAGCCACATCATCAGAAGCATCAAAAGCATGATATGCACAACAATAGAAAATTGGTGCTTTCTTTTGTTCAGATTTCACCTAAACTGCTGTAGTGTCTTGGGAAGAAAATAGGATCTGGTTTTTCAAACAAAATGCACTACAAACCTCGGCTAGCAATCCTAAATTGACCATGAATTCCTACCAATAATCACTGTAGTACCATATTTCTTTCTACTCTCATCTTCAAAGGTTTGTCTTTGGTTTACCAGCAGCAGGGACACGCCTGGTCTCTGAACGCATAGTCACAAATTCCTCGGCAGCAGAAGGGTGTATCCCAACCTGAAATTGGGAAAGAGAATATGTAAAGCAACCAACTGAATAACCATGAGCCACATAATCCAACGAAGAGTTTCCTTTGCCGGCTATTGATAATTACGTAAAATTATCTGATATGATTTCAGCGAGAGACTAACGATTTCTTAGTTTTCCCAAACAAGGTAACTATTCGACAGAAATTAACAGCAGAATTTGCATGCAAAAAATACATATCTAATCCAAAGGACCCCGTGCCTAAACAAAGGGAGAAAAGCTTACCGTGCTATCAAATTGTGCTTTGGTTGCTCCACATTTCAGTGCAATAGCAATGCCCTGCAGTAAAGAAGCCAATTATCATGTAAAGGATTGAGAAGCGCGGATAAAATTGAGAGGTTACAAATGTGCTACGAAAATGTAACAACTATACTTGTATGCATTGCAATCAAAATGCAGCTGTATGACACTATTAACACACTGCCATATTGACCAAATGCGGTCAGAATTGCATAAAACTATCACATCTGGGCAGAATCTCTACATTAAGGACAGTAAGGAAACTACTGAATAGCTTCACAAGTAGTCCAGTATCTTGTTAAAAAAGTTCATTTAAGTTCATCAAAATATTCAATTTTTTATCCAGAATAATAATCACGCCGTTAACAAACAAAATATGATTTGTTATGCACAAGAGACTAGGAGCTTATCCACTTGATAAGCACATTTAAGAAGTTGGACCTGCATAATTTCAGGAGCATCTGGACCACACATGGCAGCTCCAAGAACTTTATCCGTCTCAGCTTCAACAATGAGCTTCATAATTGATTTTTCCTGGCGCCTACACCAAAGAACACGAGGTTAAATATACAATCTCGCATGACAATGGAGGACCAAAACATTAAATTAGCACACCATTCAACGGAAAGACTCTATTGGCACGTTCAGTGTTTTTTCTTTCTTTTTTTTTTTGTGGAAATTAATGGCTCAGTCATATGATGTCAAATCCTATTTCAGATTGGGCTGGGAGAGAGCTTGACCACTTTTTATCAGCGAAAAGAACCCATTAAAACAAAACATAAAAACCTCAGAAAGATTTTCATAAGTTCAAGGAAAGAAAACTCCTCAAGGCAGGACATAGCAAAAGAATATCAACACCGCCTTTAATTGATTATACTTAAGAACTATGTAGTTTAAGATCATACCCAGATATTGTATTCTTCATTGGATTGAATGTCGATGTGAAAACCTGCAATTCACCATTGGCTTGCTCTTTAGCCTGCTCTTCACTCAGCCCAACCACAGAGAGAGGCGGTATGCTAAAAAGTAAATGCAAAGGAGTCAAAATCGACCACAAAACAGTGAAACAGAAATAAGCAACAAGTCCATAAATGTCCACAGATTCAGGATGCATTTGTGAAGCAGAAATTGTGACGCCATAGATGGGAATCTGACTAAGTAGAACTCAACTTTTGAAAAGTCTAGCCACCACTAAAACTCTAGGCAATAATTGTACACTACACTGTTGACTTGATAATACATTTAACTTGGCAACAAACAACTCTAAAGGCAAAATATACATGATAAAAACATTAATTGAAACGTAGTCAAAGTAATTAGTTTTTGAAGGGGACAAAACACATCAAACGATGACCAATTACACGAAAACAATAAAAGTAAAGATATATGACTAGTTGGAGGAGATTCCCAATTGACATGCCAACATATACATGTTTCTCATTTATCGATCAACTAAGACAATATCTTCAATTAAGTTGTCGAGTCTACAACATCACAAGTAGGTGCATGGCTACAAATTCTACCAGAACCATCAAACCAATGAAAACAAGAAAAACAGCTCACAGAAAAAGAGCTAATACCAGAAGACAGCACAAGGAATATTGTCATAGTCAGGTTTCTCAGGCTTTCCACCAAATACAGTTTTCTGCAGGTATGAAATAAGAATTGAAAATAAGAAATAAAGATCATCGAGGAACAGAGTTAAAGATCACCAGAAACAGTCTTACAAAATACAACACCAAATGATAGTCAAGACGAGAAAACATACTGCAAAACAACTTCCTTCCATCAATGCAACAGGAGTAAGATTGACACGATTTGTAACATCACCAATTGCCCATATGCTAGGTACGTTCGTCTGAGAGTACTCATTTACCTAGATAAAGGAATTTAAGAATAGATGGGTACTGTGAGAAGTAATCAAACTGGCAGGTCTCAACATTCAAAGAAAGAATATTTTGCTTCCATATGAAACATCAAAAAAGGTCAAAGATGGTAACATCTTAGAAGCAGAATAAAAGACTCTTCAGGAAAACAAGTGATTCAAAGAAAAATCAAGTGTACTAGCTTAGACTACTAACTTTAGAAACAAATCAGAGCACCAAATAGATGAAAAGACATGAAAAAAGCTGGCAGTCTACTGATTTAAGACATAAAAAACAAATTAAACTTGAGAGCCCAGATGCCACACTTTGCGAAACATGATGGACAGACTGCATCGATTGCATTATGTGTGGCTTACTATAGTGGCAATCAAAATAACAGAACAAAGTTTCTAAAATGGAGCCTTCCAGACAAACAGGAAAAATAGAAATGACATCACAAGTAGTTCAGCAAGGAACAAAACCAAATTCAACTACTCAATCAGTAAACAACTCAATGCCAGTCACTTGTATGCAAGTATAACATGGTGTTCATGCTCAATTTAATCTGCATACCAGTTTTTGCCCTCCAAGGTTCTTTGAAATTTTATACTACAACATCAAAAAGAGAAAAGACGCAGTAAAATAATTGAAGGAAAACCTTAATAGCTCCAATTTGATCTAGTTCAACACCTGCAGCTTCCAAATTTAACCTCTTTGAGTTAGGTGCCCTACCTGAGATCAACAACAAATTATGAACAAATATATAAGCATAGAAATTCATCATATGCTCAAGATGAAGTAATACACAGCAATGAGAAGAAAACTTCCATGAGCTTAGACTCATACGGCAACAATACAAACAACAATAGCTAACCCTTTATTCTACCCTGTGACACTGGTTATCTAGATAATACCTGCTATTCAGTCATGTTACACATCTAAGTTCACAACTATCATGTCTTAGTGAAATTTCTCACCACATCCTTTTTGTGCTAGAGCAGCTAAAGTCTCCTCGGAACATATCTAGACAATCTTGAGTTTGTTGCTTTTATTGTCTCATTTATAGGGGTTACTCTCACTTTGCTTAAACTATCTAAGCTAGTGCCAGCACATAGCGATTCAACTAGCTTTTGACAGCTTTTTTTACAGAGTTCTTCCATTTCAATTCAACTTGCTTTATGATCAATGAATATAAATTTGCACTTATCAATTCTTTCCAACGTGCTGAATTTTATGTGTAACATTTCTATCAACTCTGCTTTTGAACTATAGATACTATATATTTACAAGCATGTGTGCAAATTTTCTCAATTATCATCTACATAGTCTTAGATAAAAACATTTGGATCTTACGACCGGTCTCCAAACATCTAACCAAGCATTTACTTCACTCCCCTCTCATCAATTATAGCTACATTGTTAACAAAATAAAAAATATTCAAATATAGTTTTCAGCTAACAATACTAATATTGTCTACTACCAAGGCCCAAAAACTATTAACCCAATATCGGTTCCTGATAAACCTATGGAATTTGAAAATTCACTCTGTATTCCTTCTGTATCCAGACAATGTCGTCATGTCTTATACATATATGTTCCAACGGTTCACCTATCTTTGTAATAACGGTCGATTTAGTCAGAGACAGCAATAATTTAAGGAAGGGCTAGAGCAGACTCCCCCCAGAAATAAAGCTGCAAATGGATCTCTAGAGTTCATCCTTAAAGCACACAATACATTAACAGGAAAAGAAACTTCAACATGTTAAACACAAGTTTAACATAATGATGGGAGAACCAGTTCCAATAATTACCAGTGGCAAACAGCACAACATCTGCAATCAGTTCTTCCCCGTGACTTGTACGTACTTTTATTCCTTCATCTGTTTTAACCAGCTGAAGAACCAAGATATCCATTATTAGATTCCCGTAAAGTCGTTACTAGAAAGAAAAGGCAATCAATGCCACCATATATATGAAAAATGAAGCCATCCGATTTTGAATTCTTCACTTTATCTATCTAAATGCATGCTTCAAAATTATTATCAACTAACAAGCACCTCGGAAATACTAGTTTGGGGATGCATGTGTATTCCCCTGCCTTCCAGATTTCTGGCAACGACTGCCCGCATCTCATCATCAAAACCTCTGCAAATGCACAAAGCAGAGGTTTCAGATTAAGTGTACATGACAGTGCATTGGAGATATAATACTATAACAATATGGACCCGAGAAACGGTCCACACAGAACAAATTTAAATGCCCCTAGTTACACAGAGACAAGTAGATAAACCAGCATCATAGCTCACCAATGGCAAGCAGATTGAACTACCTATGAGAAAGCCAGTTATGGCAGATATCCAATATTCAACCAGGCTATATCATTAGTCACAATAGTTTTATACAGATTCAATATCTCAACCTTGGCAATGAAGATGATATTTTGAAAGTATGAACTAAAAACAAGTTTAGTATGATTTCTTTACATGAAGGATGGTTAAATGCTAAAAGATAAAATGATTAGTCAACACAAAGTTAGAGATAAACACTTGACCTTAGCGGAAGTTCCTTTCTGAACAATAGATCCACGGTTGCACCCATCCCACGCCATATTGAAGCAAACTCAACCGCAATATACCTGTATATTTGACATTGAATTAAACACGCAGATGTCAAACACACTAAACTGCACATAAATAAATTAAGAGGCAGACTGACCCCCCACCAAGGACCACAGCACGCTTCGGCAACTCCTCCAGGCTCAAAGCCTCATCAGAGGTAATAGCTAACTCCTATATCAGGAACAGGCAACAAACATAAGAAAGGTAACCTACATATAAGGAAAAGTCAAAAGAACAAGAAGAGTATACTAAAACAAAAGGGCAACAATTAAAGCTTGTCAAAGGGTGCTGCGCATGGGAATGAGATAAATTATTGTTGTTAGCAATTATACCACAATATCAATGCCACACGAAGACATGAATAGAAAGATGGTGCATAGAAAGAAGTTAAAGACAAAACAAGCAATGCAAAGGTGCAATGATTACCTAACTAGGATAATATTAGTAAACGTCGCTCCATTTAATCACAAAAATTAGATAAAAGATCAGTTCAATCCAATAATCTAATTGCAACCCAGTGACAAATTGAGAGGAAGAAAAAGTGCTCTCAAAGAAAAGTTCGACAAGCAAAAAGTCGGTAATGAACATCATCTGTACCTGACCAGGAATAGCCGGACGCTGAGCCCTGCCACCAGTTGCAATCAGGATATGCTTGGCAGAATAACAAATTTTAGTTCCATCCAGTTGGATCACTTCAACCTCATGTGGGCTAACTACCCTTCCCTCTCCTTCAAAGAGTTTAACTCCAGCATTTGAAAGCAGCCGCTTGTATATTCCATTTAACCTGACAATTTCCTCTGTCTGCACCAAAAAGAAAAAATCAAATAAAAATAAAAAAAATCAAAAAATCAAATGAGCACATATTCCGGGATAGGCATCCAATTTTCTCATCAAGAGATTCAATGCAGGAGAAATTGTAGGAAACAATAAAATTCAGTCAACTGATAGCATTAGATATCCAATCAAGTGACTCAAAGTTCTTCCTTAGCCCTTAAGTCCAGTAGAACTGCTTTCACTCTAAAATTTCAGCTGTAGTAATCGAGCACTTAATTTTTGGGTGAAAAGGTATCAAGCTTTTATGTATACAGACCATCACATGATCTCTAGTTTTTCTTCTGCAAGCCAATTTTGAGCACACCAGTAAGAAAGTGTCAATAACAGAAAGTTTAACTATTCCGATATGCTTTAGTGATGTTTACTTGGAGTCAAAACTTCTCTGAATTCTTCAACTTGGGTTACTATCAATTAGGGTGGACTTTGGACCAGGAATCTTAAACTCTACTTTTAGTAGCACATAGAAAATACATCAAGGGAACTCTACACAAATAAAGTGCCAAGGCAATTTTTCAAGCCAGCTCCCGCAGATTTTGCAGTGAAGAAACTCTCACAAATGAAGTGCCTAGTCATTTTTCAAGCCAGCTCTCACAGATTTTGCAGTGAATTGTATAAATTAGACAGATCAAATCACAAAAGGAAGTGCTCCAGGGATTGAACAGTCTAAAACATAACAAAATGAGTTTAACAGGTGGGCATGTAAGAGAAACACACATAGCAGTGAGAGAATTTAAGAGAAAGAAATCAAACTTGTAGGTACACTTCAAAAATGCTGAATTTTACGATGATATCCACAGAGAGCGTGGCCTACTAAGATAGACTACACTATTAAACTAGTGCATAAACAGGAATTGATACAAATAGTACAATTAAAGTTTAAAAAAAAAACAAAACAAAAAAAAAATTTAAAAAGATAAAAAACTACAAACCTTCTTCTGTAGAAGTTTCTTCCAGTTGAAATTAACATTCTCATTTATTTCCCATCCATAGTTCCTGGCATCCTGCATAGACAGGATGTCAGACAATTGAAAGTAGGAGGTAATAAAAACATAGTCCAAAGTAGGACATAATTTTGAATTGAAAGGCTAGGATAAACTAAACTAAAATAACCAAATACCAAAAAGTTACATAAGTCAAGTCTAAAAATTCTTCAACATGCATATAAGCACCACAGAAATGAGGACATTAATCCATCTATAGGTAACATAACAGTCCCAAATTTAGTAATATTCTTCTAACTGCTAAACTGCCCAAACCTTAAATAAAGAATTTCACATGCATATGTTTAATCATTTCTTTTTCCAATAAAATCCCATACCTCAAGTTCAGGCCCATAGGACGCTCCATATACCAAAATCTTCTTAGGAACGCACCCACGAATCACACACCTGTAGGAGTTCAGAGCATTTTCAGCACCATCAGAAGACTCTTTATCACCAACTTCATAAATATTACAGAAATTAAACAAGCTGAATGTAATTTGTTTCGAAATTCTTAAACTGCAAGATAATTATTTGATGTCCTTAAAATATAACAAACCAAATCATACTACAGAAGAGTTAAGCGTTGGGAAAAATTTCATATCAAGTCACCCTGCAGAGGGGATTGCTGGAGGAATTTATTAAATTAATTGTTTATTAGAAACATAAGGGGATAGGAATAAACAATTCAACAAATATGACACTTAGCAAACCTCACATCAAAATAGAAGATGTTTCAGAGGCCTCTTCGCAATTAATAAAGGATATACCTTATCCTATGCATGCCTATTTTCACTGAGGCAAACACTGACAGCAGAACGGCCTAAGTAATTACGATATTTTGGTTGTTGCAGATAACATGACATCCCAGTCCAACAGAGGACAGAATCCAAACTTTTAAAACACAAGCAGAATTTCAGGTCATAAGTACGAAAAGCCAGAGTCTTAGTCATAATCAGGTAAGAATTGGAAAGAAAACAGCCAAACTTCCAATTAGATAAGTCAATAGGTGAAGTTATCATTAACTTACGTTCCACCAACTCCTCCAATTGTTTCTGAACTGATCGGATGAAATGGAAGTTCACATATCCCGACCTACAAAAAAAGGCAATCACAAACTTAAAGATTGTGCAAAAAATCTTACAAAAGCATCCAACAATAATAATTGTTACAGTAAAAAGAGGCTGTCAGAATACATGCATACATATTCTGTTCATATGATAATGCGAAGATATACCAAATCACTGAGGGCAAATGTGAACGTTGTTGATGACGTATCTCTACTGTACCTGTTTCTTTCTTTTCTTTTTCTTTTTTTTTAATGTTTAAACTGCATCAGATGCTAACTGCTGGAAGTCTATAACTAGATGCAGTATCATTATTGAAGTTCCAGCTCAAGTGATGCATTCAAACAAGTTTTACATGAGCTCAAACATGAAAATGGTAGCATCTCCAATGATAAGAGTTTCAGCCATTTGGCTGCCAGAACGCTCAAACATGGAATAAGACGAGAACTCGATGCAGGAATGCTCAAACATGGAATACGACGAGAAAATCAAACATTACTTTCAGTTATTTCCTATTGCATTGAGTGGGAAAAATGCACTACGCACATAATTTATTAACATAGGATCAAACCCCGAACTTAATAGAATTCAGGGAAGCACAAAATAATACAAGCTTTAATATTTTCTCGCAGCAAGTCCACAAAACGCTGCAATCAAATCTGAATACCTGACATCGTGGGACCAATAGTCACTAATTGCAAAGTGAAATCATAAGCAGGCAGCTAACAACACAATTCTATAGGTCAATACTCAAATTTCAGACAATGGGGATTCCACATCACCAAACATAAGATGAAGTAAGACATCCGTAATCAGAAGACAAACCTTAGCCCCAAATTGGGCCGAGAACCGAGCAGCACGAACACCACCACTCCCAGCACCAATCACAAACAAATCATAATCATAGTGAGCATCTCCTCCATCAGGGATTTCCAACACACCATCAACCTTCATCTTCCTCCCCAAACTAGCCATGATATACAAAATGCTGTATGCAAATAATCCAACAGAAATAATAAGCACAACACAGTATATAATCAGCATAAAGAGAGATTACAACCCAATTTCTTCTGTCTGCACAAACAGAATTCCGAAAAGAACATATGAGTGTATAATCAAAAACATGTTTTTACAGCGAAGAGTAGTATTACAGACACAAAATTTGCCCAGAAATCATAAACAAAACCATAAAGCGTAAAAAACCCAGAGAAAAAGAAAATCTTTTTGAGATTGTTTTTGAAGAAAAGAATCACTCGAATCAAAAAGGGCACTCAAAACCACTGCTTTTACCTTTTCCTAAGCTGAACCCAGAATTCCAAATGATCTCTTCTAACGACTTTTCGATCGATTTATACAAAAACACAGCAAAATGAAACCACTCGGCTGCTTCAGTTGAATTAGCAATAGAGAGAGGATGATGGGGGGATTTTGTTGCGTCGGGAATTAATAATAAAACAAAAATAAAAGGTTTTACTGAATTATTACTATTTTGGTCTTTGTCGTTGGAGATATTCTTGGAATTGATTTTGGCCGTCACGCCGGGAATTAAAGACGTATTTTCCTTTTTCTTATTTCTAAATACAAATTTTTGGTATGAAATTATTAATTTTTTTAATAGTTTAGTGAAAAAAAATATCAAATCCATCTCAACTGTAATCCGATGTTGTTTTCAATATCAACAATTTCTTAAAAGGTTTATTTTATTTTTAAATAAGAAAATGAGAAAAAGCACGTAAGGTTTCATTAAGAATAAAAAAATTAGATTTCTTTTAATAAAAGTTTTAACTAATAGACAAAGAATTTGTACAAACTGTATCTTATTTATGAGCACTCCCTTTTTTTTTCTAGTTATTAAAGTTTAACAACATGGTTATTATATTTTTTAAAAATAATAATAACAATAATAAAGTTATTAATAACTGTTTCATAACGTTTGTATTAATCGACTAATGCTATTTCACATGTTTGAAGAGAGTGATTCTTAACATTTTTATTATTCCTGTCAAAATTTTTGAATACGCCACATGTTGTCATGTTGATTTATTCTAATCCCTTTTTTTAAAAAAAGGGGGAGAAAGAAAGAAAAGAAAAAAAAAAAAAAAAAACCTTGTTGAAATTTGCATGAGTTTAAAACCAAAAATACCATTTTATATGTTTAAAACCAATGAAGGTTGAATGTGAACATGAATGAATATGCATGGCGGATCATGCTGTCTTTGACAATCATGAATTCATAATGTTGTTGCCGCTGAATAGTCCTTGCTTTCTTTCTTTTTTTCTTTTTTTTTTTTTTTTGGAGAGGAAAAAAAAAGAAGAAGAAGCAGAACCAATTATCCTAATTTTACAAATAAACTTAACACTGTGCCAAATGATGTATCTATATATTAAAAAAAATGAAAATTTATTCATTGGTTGATTAATCTGTATGACAAAACTAATATTCCTTCTGTTCCAAAATTATTGTATAATTTGAGATTTCACTTTTACTACAATTTAAATTAAAAATGAAAACTTAAATTGGATAATAATTATGGGACGGAGGGAGTAGGGGTGTTTTTCCAAAAAAAAAAATTAATTAAAATAAACGTGGACAAATTTAAATTTTTCAGAATATTTGTGGACAGAACTATATTCCTCGGATTTCTGAAATCCGAGTTCTGATTAGAATTAACGATTCGGATTTTGCAAATCCAAGTTTATATTTAATAATAAAATAATAATTAAATAAATTTTGTTGAATAATAGTTTTTAAAAAATTCTTAAATGAACAGTGCAGGTTGGATTTGCGAAATGTAACTTTAATTAAAAATTAATAAACCGCGGCGCGAAATTTTTGTATCCAAAAACCGGAAGTCCGTAATCTGGTTTTATGAATTCGGATTTTGGAAATCCGGCTGCCTTGAATTTTGGTTGGTGGAAGTAGGCATGTGCCATAAATTGGAGGACCAAAAAATGAATAAAATAATCCTAAATTGACTAAATCCGGATTCATGAAATCCGAAACTAATGTAATTCGGATTTCAAAAATCCGAGTTACTTACGGACTCGGATTTCTTAAATCCGAGTTTAACGTGCTATAAAAGAAAAAAAGTTTCAGGCAGTTCTCATTCGAGAACTGAGTTGGATTTTCTGTTTTTGCAGCTCAAACAAGGGCGAATTGGAGCTTTTGATGCATTCTTGCCTCTAGATACGTGGAAATCGTTATTTGAAAGAGGTTAGATTGCAAAACCATGTTATTTAGTTTAGTTTTGTGTTATTTTGATTGTTAGAATGATGTATGATAGATTAGGATTTATGTTGATTGGTTGTTTAGATGTTTTAGGTGTTGATTTTGAGGTTAGAGATGAGAAATCATAGTTGTTCATGAGATATCGAAGTTGATTTATAAGTATTTTAGTAGTTTATAGGTTTTTTGAATTATGAATGAAGTATGTATAGTGTATTTGTTGATTTTGTTATTAAGAAATGATTAGTTATTGATTTTTTTTTTAACAGTTATCAATGACATGTAATGTATCATACATGCTTAGTTTGTATCATACAAGTAAGTATGTGATAGAGAACGATAGCATAAACACTTTTTCGAATATGCCGGATGATGGTTTGTTTGTCGAAGCAAGGTTGTCATATGAGGGATTGATTAGCAAGATTTGTATGATACTTGGTTGGGATCCAGCACACGTGAAACTCCATCTTTCTTTGATTTTCCATAGTCCCGGTGGTAGGCGTGTAGTGAAAATCAAGAATGATTCGCATGTAGAGTTAATGAACCGTGTAGATCCAATGTCATATTTGGATTTATACATAGATTTGGAAGATATCACTCAAGAAGAAAGAGAAGCGAGTTTGGAAAACGTGTCATTTGGTGGTTTTCCAAGGGGGGAACGTTCTAGTACTTCTCGAAACCGTGATGAAGAGGAGACACCTTTATTTGCACAAGATGACTACCAGGAAGAGTCGGATTCCGACTACATAGCTCCAAGTGAAAGCGAAGAAGACTGTGATGTCTCCGGAGAGAGTGATTTTGAAGAAAGTGATGATGAAAGTTTGGAAAATGAGGAAAGGGATTGTAATCCATTGGCCCGACGCTATGTATATAGTAAGATGGGGAACTGGGATGCCTCATGTGTGGACAAGGATGAGTTTGCTCTTAAGATATAGGATGAGACCCCCGAAGGAATGGACATTGGTGTTTGTTTCAAATCTCAATCAGAAGCAAAGCATGCTGTGAAATTATGGAACATCCATCATAAAAGAGAATATACGGTCGCCGCGAGTAGTCCAAGGACGTGGGCTGGTGCAGAACATTTAATGTGGAAAGTGAGGATGGTGAACCACCATGTGAGTGGAAGATGCGTGTGTCATTGAAAGCTCACGGCTTTCATGAAATTATGAGATGGCATGATGCACATAATTGCATGACTCCCGTGAATGATAATGACAATCGGTGTGTGGACGCGTCTTTGATTGCTAGACTCATCAGGAGAAAGGTTGAGGACAACGTAGATTATACGGTAGCCTCAGCACAGAAAGATGTGAAGACCTTATTGAAAATAGATGTGCCATACAAAAGGGCGTGGCACGGGAGGAGGAAAACCATAGAAGCGGTCTATGGTGATTGGACCTCGAATTTCTAACAACTTCCACGGTAAAAATCAATTTTTATCCGTGTATTGAAATATTTTTAGTGTTTTTATTTTTACATGTATTGAAATATTTTAACAATGACTTGTTGTTGTGTAGGTATATCGCTGCGCTTAAGTTTACTAATCTTGAGACTGTAGAAGAGTGGGAATGGAAGGAGGGACAAGAAGGTTGGAATAGGGGAAATAGGACATTTAAATACATCTTTTGGTCATTTGCACCGGTGGCTGAGACGTTTTTTGAATGTCCACCGGTCATTTGTATCAATGGAACCTTTTTGCGTGGTGGATACAAGGGTAAATTGCTTGTTGCGGTGGTCTATACCGCAAACAAGCACATTTTACCGGTTGCATTTGCGATTGTGGATGAGGAGACAGTAGAGAGCTAGACATTTTTTATGAGGAATTTGAGGTTATGGGTTGTGTATGATAGAATCGTAAGTGTGATATCCGACCGGAATGCAGGGTTTTTGAGCGCAATGTCACAGATGGATGAATGGCGTGATTTAGGTGATGGTGGCCACTTTCTTTGCCTCCGCCACGTTCGCAGCAATCTTGTGTCGCGATATAATAACAAAAAGGTGAAGCGGTTATGTTAGAAGATGGGCACGACGCTTTCAAGAGTGAAATACAACCGTATGAGGGCAGAGCTTATTGAATTCAAACCTGCTGCGTGCGAGTATCTTCGAGGGATTGGAGGGAGTAACTGGGCTCGATTGAAAGCCGGTCTTCGCCGTTAGGGCATAGCAACAATCAACATTTCTGAGAGTTACAACAATGCGTTGAAAGGGATTCGTTTTTTTACCAATTAGAGCCTTGATCGATGCAACCTTTCGCAAAATTGTTAAATTCTATAGAGAAGAACAATTGTCTGCGAGAAATTGCATGACACCGATCCCTCCTGAGTTATGAAAAAAATACGAGAAAATGAACGACAAAGCAACCAGTTCTGAAGCCACCCCTTTCGATGGTGATGATGCTATGTTGCGTATTGTTACTGCAACACGCCTAAGTGGCAGGGTGGGTCTCTGCATATGGTGAACTACGATGAACATAGGTGTTCGTGCAGGAAGTGGCAAGAGTACCGGATGCGAGTACCGATGCCTTGTACGCACGCACTCCAAGTTTGTCGGAGAAAAGGGGATCGGCCTATTGATCTATACCATAGTGTGTGGCGCCTTCCAACGTGGCGCAGACAATTTGATTACACGGACTTTGTTCCGGTTCTTGATGAGGAACAATGGCCGATGGTCAATTGGAACATCATTTCGAATTATGAGCGTCTTGTGTTGCATGCGGGACCGGGACGAAGACAAAAAAAGGAAAAATAGAATGCAAATGGATCACAGGGGACGCCGGAGCCGGGGGGAATGTTGGAGATGTGGACAACTAGGTCATGATGCCAATTCTTGTCCGTTCTCGCACCCAGGAGTAGATAGAAGACCTGTGAATGACAGCTGGAATTGAGAGTCATTTAGTGTTTGAATGTGAAACATTGATAAATTCGGATTGTAATGTGAACATTGAATTGTTCGGATTGTAAAGTGTGATGAAATATGTAGTAGTTTTTCATAACAGGTTTTGGGATTGTGCAAAATACTCAGCACATTTAAGGTTTTCCAAAGCACCCGGATTTCCGAAATCCGAGCTCAGACTTTTTTTTCAATTTGCAAAGAAGTCGGATTTCGGAAATCCGACTTTGTGAAAACCATCCGAGAGTTGCAATTTGAGGAGAAACAGGGGAGACTCAGATTTTCGTAATCCAAGCTCAGACTTTTTTTTGATTTTGCAAAGGACTCAGATTTCAGAAATCCGACTTTGAGAAAACCATTCGAGAGTTGCAATTTGATGAGAAACAGTAAAGATTCGGATTTCCGAAATCTGAGCTCAGACTTTTTTTTCAATTTGCAAAGAAGTCGGATTTTGGAAATCCGACTTTGTGAAAACCCACACTTTCCATTTCAATTTCGGAGAGGCGACTGTGACGCTACAAGACATCGAGGTCCTGTTTGGTATTCGGGTGGATGGTGACCCGGTGTACGGGACGACAGTTAGCCGGACTGCAGATGAATGGCGGGATCGATGTGAGGCTTATTTGGGATTCCGTGGCGACTGTAAATGGCCAATGTGTCAATGCTGGTATTTTCGAAGATGAGATGGGCCGCGCACTACCTGAGAATTCCACTGTCCATCGATTCAAGCAAAGGGACGGGACACTTATACTGCATTTTATTAGCAGTTTCATGTTTCCTAACAAGACGTAGAACACTGTCAATCTACAGTTCTTGGCCCAGGTTGAGGATTTGGATCAGTGTAGTCGATACAGTTGGGGATCGGCACTGCTGGCTGGTTTGTACTCTAGACTGTGCGAGGCATCACAGTATTCCATGCACGACGCCACTGGGTGTCTATATTTGCTACAGGTACGTATTAGTTTTCATTTTGTGTTTTAATTATTTTTCGCTTTCGACGTTATAATTTGAAGTTTTAACATTATTATTGCAATTTACTAGGTATGGGCGTATGAGCGGATAGAGAAGATCGCGCCACAAAGAAAAGGAGTAGATTATTTGATTGATGAGACCGCTCCATTAGCTCAGCGGTACGTATTTTCAGTTCAAAATAACTCAATGTTTATTTCTATTTGTTTCTTATTCATTTATTTCACTAATTCAAATGTACCCCTTTGTTTATTAAGGTGGGAATGTAGGTACACCTATGGCGACGCCCTAAGGAGCAGCACTCCATCTTTTAGAGATCAATTAACAAGTCTTCGTGTTGAAGATGTAAGTACTTGTAATTTGGTATTTATATTTACTTTGAGACCAATTACCCCTTTCTTTTCGTTTCGGTTGTACCATCTAATGAAATTCTTTTCATGCAGTTTCGGTGGCAACCATATGCACATGTCCTTCATAGACTCCCTGATTTCTGTACATAAGGCCAAGCCATTTGGACGACCAGGTGTTGGATGTTCTGTTGGGCTATTAGAGAACCCCACGAGTCGGGCATAGTCGTAAGACAATTTGGATACATACAGGATGTTCCCAAGCGCCCCATGATTAAAGATAACGCAGCATTCCTTCTCGATCACGCCCACAGTATATCTGGGTATCCTAGCAATAATTGGGTGGACCACCATTCCGCAGTACGTCGTCATTAGAATAGGAGAGAAGAGTACGTGCTACGAGATTTGGAGGAAGGAGATCCTGGTTCCGTACATGAGGGGTATTATGAATGGTTCATGGTGAACACTGTCAGACTGATATCCCATCCCGGTAATTATGAACCTCAAGGATACGAGACTTCTTCGAGCCGCGTGAGTATGTGAGTTCATTCTAGATTTCTTTTATTATTTCTTATGTTTTCATTTTTTTTTTTTTCATTTTTAATTTTTTAGAATTTTACTCTCTTAATTAACGTCCCAATTTCTTTTCAGGGTGAAGTATTGAACAACATTCGCGTGAGTACCGAGAGGTTTAGAGAAAAACGAGAAGATGATAAATTCCTAGACGAAGAACTTGACAAGCATTTGGACGATATCATCAATCAAACACGTGCTGCTTTAACCTTGGGCGCAAATGATGAGATGGAGGTGGAGGATACCCAAATCTTAGTTGATGAAGATCCATCTTTGCCCTCACAACCTCCGCAAGGTAAAAAAGCGAAACCGTGGTCGAGAGATAAGATTGGAGGAAGAAGAAAGAGGAAGGTCACAATCCCCCCTCGGACATCGCAACAACAAACTAAGAGTCAACAAAATGAGGATCAAGCACATTCTTCTCGAAGCTCGCGCATCCAGGTCGAGACTCATTTTGAAGACGCTGGTGGACCGAGACTCAGTTTGACCTTGGTGGACCCGAGACTCAATTTGGTGGACAGTCGCAACCACAACCGGGAGTCAAATTTCTCACCATGGGAGAGTCCCAATCCCAACCCCAACTCGAGGCTCAGTTTGGTGGACAGCGCAACCACAACAGAGTTCAATACTCACGTATCTTAAGAGGGGAGACAGGATCCGGCAGGGCCCAAACAAATACACTCCGGATGCGCACAATAAAGGAAAAGGGAAAAAATGAGACATTTGATGTATTTTGCACATTTAAAGTAGTTTTTGTATTGATTTTTGTATGAAACTTGATTTGTTTTGTTGTTAATCGAATGCCGTTTATTATTTTGTTGCCATTAAATTTCTGTTTTCCAATGTTTCATTGTTGTTGGTGCTATAAACAGGTTTATGACTGGTAAAAACCAGTCCAATTTTTTTTTCAGTTCTGACAAAGACTCGAATTTGCGAAATCCGAACTCAGACTTTTTGTAAAGGATTCGGATTTCGGAAATCCGAGTCTGTAGCCAACTGAGAGTCCCCATTTTTCAGAAAACAGAGGATATTCGGATTCGGTAATCTGAGTCTACGTGTCCTCGGATTACCGTGATCCAGTTTTTCCCAAATTTAATTTTTCAACACATTTTTTTTCTCTATCAGGAAATTAATATTTTATTCATAAATCCGAATTTATACGGATTTATAAAATCCGAATTTAGATTAATTACACTAATTTTTGTCATTAACTTAATCTCGGATTTACGTAACACAAAGTCGGATTTTTATAATCCGAGTTTATTGGGGTTTGGATTTCCGAAATCCGAGTTTTACCCCCATTCGGATTTCCTAAATTCGGGCCATATAAGTTTGTCCACAAAATTTTTGAAAGGTTTATTTTTGTCCAGGTATATATAGGAAAATATATTTAAGGAAAAAATTCGAGGGAGTAGTAACTCATTTTTGGATCCATTGAGAATTGGGAGTAAAATTTATAAAAAAAAAGTTATACTCAACTGACATAAGACTATTATATTAAGATTATGCCTCCGAAGGTATAGGTCCATGCAATAATAAGAAGCTTCTATTATTCTGAGATCCTGGGCATCTCGGAATTGATTGGAATTTTATTTTTATTTTTACCCTTTTTTTTTCCGTTTTCCTTTGCAAATTGAAAGAGCTGGTTTGTAGGTTGGAATACAAGGTCTAAAAGGGGCCACATTCAGTTCGTTGAACATGGACTTATTGGATAATTCAACGGTGTTCTTAAGGGAAGGAGAGGACAAGTTGAACACGGTTTGGTTGAATTTTCTTTCTCTTTTTTTTTTTCAAATACATATTAAGCATTTAAGTTAGGATAATGATTCGTACAGGAAAAAAATTACAAGAAAAAATAATAAGGAATTAATCATAACTATTCATTTTTAACACTTTACATTTGAGTTTTAAACATTTAAGATTAGGACATAATTTAGATAAGTATTCCTTACGTATCATTATTCTTAAGGCTATTACTTGGACAGGTACTTATTATAAAATATTTTAATTTGTTATGAAATTTAAAACAAATCAAAATCATTATATATATTAAAGGAAAGAAAGATAATCGACACGTGTCGCTTATTGAGACCATCAAGTCTCACTTTCAACTTATTGTCATTTTAGTCCTTATATTTATGTGCTACTTAGTTTTCAAGTTTATCGATTTTATATTTTCAAGCACAGTTAATTGTGTCTAATCCCCAAAGTCCCTTTGCCTATAAATAAATCATAGGCATCTAGACATAATTTACGCATTTTCTAAATATATTTTTTAATCCAAACATAACATTAGTTAGTGGTGATAATTTTTATTATACAACTTTTGAAAATCTTTGTTGTAATATTTTTGGCCAGATCTTACAAACATACATCTCATAAATAATATCAATACCTCTCATTTTGATCTAAAATTGATTAATCAAAAAAATATTATAGTTTTAAAAAATATTAGCAACTACGTTATCTAATTAATTCTTTTGGAAGTTAAATTTTCAACATTGACAAACCCGCGCAAAGCGCGGGACACACACTAATATTTTATAATAATAAACTTTAGGACAAATCAAATTATTTTAAATATTATGAAATTTAAAACAAATAAAAATATTTGATAATAATGAACTTTATGACAAATCAAATTACTTAGGTACCAAAGGAAATACGCTTAGAGAAGATTCTAAGCGTGCATACCTCTTTTTGTGCATCACCCTATCAATCAGGTTGCGACACAATCAAATATCAATTTATTTATTTTTATTTTGTATGAAATACATGTATATTAGTTACAATACCTAAACTATATAGGTCACATCTTATTGAATGTAAATTATGTAATTTATAAATGTTTTATATACTAGCTTTAATTTGGTCACAAAAGATGCAGTAATGATACCCGTTAAAGCTTCGCAATCGGTAAATCTAAGGTAGAAAATATAATAACTAGAGTCAATTTTCACGGTACATCAAGGAAAATTTGTTTTTCCTTGGCTTAAAATCAAACAATAACAAAAGGCTAAAATTACTACACTACTAATTTTTTGCCACCGTACTGTTAAAAAAAATAAAAATAAAAATTTGCTACCTTCTATCGTTTAAGTACTTTCTTCAAAAATGCTTCCCGCCCTGGAAACTTTTTACCCGCCGGATCTTCCTCATTTCCCGCCCAATTAACCTCACTTGAATTACCCAAATTAACCTCCCGATTAACATTAACCCCAAGTCTGTCCTTCTTCCTCCTCTTCATCTTCAACCTTTCCCTCCTCAAACTCCTCCCATCCTCCGGCTCCATTGGCGGCCCATTTTCCAACGACTTGGGCTTTAATCTGTCGAGCCCAACAGCATTCTTCTTATTGGGTGTCCTCCCTTCCGTCGACGACAATCTCGGAATCCTACCTCCTTTGGACGTCCCAAGAAGCCCAAAATCAACCTTAGCCCAGCCCACCTTATCATCATTATCCCATCCAAACCTCTCGCTTATGTCCACCAGCTCCGAAACAGCGCCGCCGTTCTCAAACGGCTTCGAGCTCAAAACGTCGCCGTTCAACACCTTCTCCGCAAGCTCCCATTCCAGCCTATCTTTATAAACCGGGTCATCCAGAACTTCGTCGGCGAGCTTAGCCCATTCTTCGAAATCTCTGGCCCGTAAATTCTTGGAGACCCATTTGAGGTAATTCGACGGGAGGGTTCCGAGCATTTTGCCGCTGTATTTTCCGAAGTCGATGATTCTGTCACGAGCCGGAATTGCATTTCGGATTGTGAGGGTTCTGGGTGTGGTGGTTTTATGGGGACGGAAAATGGTTGGATTTGGTGGGTTGAAGGAGGAGGAATGAAGCGAAAAAGAATTCATTTTTGTAGGCTCGAGTAAACTGTAGCCTATAATCAAGACAAAAATTGTTGAGCTCTAATATTATTGTTCCCTTTCAACTTTTGCAGTTTGTGGTTGAAAAGGAACTCAACTTTTAACTGAAGTTTATTGGCGTTTCAAATGATACTGTAATTTATCTTTTCACCTTTTTTTTTTTCTCCGAAAGTGTGTTTTTAAGTGTTTTTTGTATCGGGAATATAAAAAAATTGTAATGAACATATAAAAAGGTATGTCAGGATGAGACAGTTATTATTTAAATATTTTAAAAATATCATCGAAAAACCTAACAAACAAAGCCTTTAAGTAATTTTTCTTGCTTTTCTAGACAATTTTTTTTTTTAATGAAACTTTTCATAATCTAATAACTAAATTCTTGTACTAAGTTTTTTAAATTGATATCTTTCATAATGTTTGAACAAGAGCCATTTTATTGATTTGATGGTTCGGAAGATTGAGAGTTCATAAGTTTTAAAACAAAATGATATTTATAATTTCAAGTGTTTCAATTTCTAGGTGGGACAAGAGTATTTGAAACGTTTCTATTTATGATTTTAACATATTTGGAAGGGGATTGAAAAACCGAAAGAGCAAACGAAAAGAAAAATATTTATTGGTGAAATATTCATAAAGGCGGGCAAAAGGCCCTTTAACAAACGATGTAAAAAATCAAATACAAGACGTAAAACAACACAAAATTAACACTGTAACATGAGAACTGAAAACAAAGGATTCTCACAGACGGCTGGATTCATACACGTAAAAATCCGCACTCATACATTAATTACCACCCGCAGCTGGAGCCGGGATCAAACTTTTGGCAAGACTAACAACTGAGTTGATGGTGTCGGCGTTAATACTGCAGTTACCATTCTCAGGGAGTTGCGAGGCCAAGAGCTGGATGGCGGCATCCAAATCTTCAAGGGTTTTTCTCAGCTTACAACCATCCACGTCCTTCAACAAGGGAGCTGCAACTTCTCCAACGTTGTTCATATCCACCGTTCCCAAAATATTAGCTACATTCGTTATCGCATTCGTGATCTCGTCTGCTGCTTCGGTTTTTGGGGTCAAACTCGAAGCTTTTCAAACACACCACAAAGAGCACACAAAGTACCATACCATTTACCATGTTAATTTTTTTTCAATAATGCATATATAGCATAACAAAAGAAAGACAAGAATTCACTTACCTATGAACAGGGCCAGCAGAATCAGCGCGACCCGGAATAGAGCTGATGTGCCCCTAGACATTTTTTTTTTTTTTTAATATTTTGTTCCCTTCCTGTTTTTGAGATGAAGGATTATACACTTTGTGTATTCAAGTGCCCAAACTTTATAGGGATGAATGGTCAACTTTGATCCTCTCACAATGCATTTACTAATAGCTGGCAAGCTACCATCATTATTGCCAGTTCGAAATGTTCTTCCTCATTGTAACTTAATACTATAAAAACAACCATGCACTTTAGTTTTTCATTTAAATAATAATTATTAAAAAAAACACTACTGCATTGGAATGATTGACATTAAATAATAGTTTACCCACCAAGTCTCCCGGTGATAATTTGGGTTGCCGTATCAAATGGATCATATCGGTTAGATTATCTCAATGCATTAATCAGTTTATTACGAAAAAAATTTACATATTTGGAGCGTGGACACTAAACAATTAGTACCGACAAAATTTCAAAAATAATTTCTAGCCATATAGTTACAATGACTTTTTTTTAAAATTTTTATTATGCATCCGGTACCTAAAATCATCGTTCTGACTAATTTGAATTCGAGTCAGGTAGATTTTTTAAAAAGGAAAACTCTCCCAATAAATCTTACATCCCAGATTTCTAAATTATTCTCCAATCTCCATAGCCAAGCCCTTCTTCTTCTTCCCCATACCCCTTTATTCAATTAGTTCTTCACATTAATTAGTTTACATCTTCTTGTTTACAAACATACTTGATTGGATTGATCAGGTTTTAAAAAGCAATCTGAGTATTAGGCTTAGGGAGAAGGTCAAATGAAATGGTAAGAAATTGAGTGTAGTGGATTATATTATTGTTATCGTAATGTTGGAGATTCAACCTTTTTTTTTTTATGTCAGAGATGCAACCCTAGATCTAAAAGCTTTAAATACCTAGGATCCATCATAAAAGAAAATAGAGTCATTGATAGAGATATAATACACCGAATACAAACTGGGTGGAACAAATGGAGAAATGCGTCCTCAATACTTTGTGATCGTAAAGTTCCATTGAGTTTGAAAGGGAAGTTCTATTGAACAACCATTCGACCGGCGATGCTTTACGGATCCGAGTGTTGAGCTACCAAGTATGAAAATAAACAAAAGATGAGGGTAGCAGAAATGAGAATGCTAAAATGGATGTGTGGGGCACACTAGGTTAGATAGGATTAGAAATGAATGCATTAAAAATAAGGTGGAGGTAGTCTCGATAGATAAGAAAATGAGAGAAATCCGCTTAAGGTAGTTTGGGCATGTGCGTAGGAGGTTGATGGAGGCCCCACTTAGGAGGACAGAAAGTATAGAATCAAGGACTTAAATAAAGAGGGGTAGGGGTAGACCGAAGAAAACTTGGAAAGAAACTATAAAAAATGATTTGAAATATTTAAATTTGAGAGATGATTTATGTAATGATCGAGCAAGATGGCGACATATGATCCATATAGCCGACCCCACCTAGTGAAAAAATGACTTGTTGCTATTGTTGTTGTTGTTGTTGTATTCAACCCTGGAAATGCACCCTTTTTAACCTCGTCTAATCATCTAAGGGTCTGTTTGATAAAAATTAGTGCTTAATTCTGAATACTTAATACTGAATTAGAAATGTGAAATTCACTAGACAGTTACGGAATAAGCAATAAGCTAATTTTTATTGCTTATATTTCAAACATGCTGAAATGAAAAAATGCTTAAACCAATAATTTAAAACATTAAGTGGTTTTATCAAACAAGCCCTAAATATGTTCCGAAAGCCTTTCGCTTACCATTCAACTCCTTCCTTTCTTTGTTTGCACTAGGCTATTCTTTGGTCTATTTGGGCTTCAGATATTTCCAACCAAAAGCCCAAAACCAAGCTTAACTCGGGTCTCGCTATCTCCAACCAGTAGTATTGAAACAGCTTCATTTTCAAAAAGGTCCTTGAGCTCACAAAAATACTCCTGTTGAGAAACTTTCTCAGTGAACTCCCATTTTACCACTTCATCGGCTCATTCACCCAACTGTTCCGATTCTCAGGCCTGAAAATTCATTGAGACAACCGTCGGCAACCTCAATTTATGGTATTTTTTATCTTCTCTTCTCCGTGTCAGCGTTTAATTGGTTATTATTACTCTTCTTTCTCAAACGAAAATACTTCAATTTTTGTTTCCAATTTATTCATTGTCCGGCTTGCAACTAAAATGAATCTCTCCCTATTCTGATCCAAAACTGAAAAGCATTCCTGGAATTTTAAAAAAAAGGTTAAAGGGTTTTGGGAAATGAGAGGCTGAGCGGTATTTTGAATGAGATTGTGACTTGTGAGTAGTCCATTGCATAAGATCTGAAGAAGGCATTTTCACTGATGATGCATAATTTCACTTAAATTTTTGGACTACCAGAACATCGTGCATGGAGGTACCTAATCCAAAAAATGGTACTATTTTTGCCTATACTATGAGTATGCAGTGTTTCTCCTAAAAAAAAAAATTGAGTATGTAGTGAAAGTCCTAGTTCCTGAATTACTTACTCTGTTTGATTTTAAATTATTCATTAATTGTTGTTTTTCCTAGATAGAAATCGAACCTCTTTCATTCATTATGAGAGTTTGATTTTTTTCTTTTTCTTTTCTGCTGTCTCTTTTGCCTTATGTTTTCGATTTAGGTTGTAAAATGGAAACCAATGCTGATGCTGTGGACATGGAGTTTGAGGACAGTACGATAGAGCAGCTTGATGAAGGTATTACTAGTAAGACTGTTACCAGGGGCAGGTCGAAACGGAGGAAGGCCTCAAGTGTGTGGGATCACTTCAATATTCCTCCCAACACGAGAGCCAATGGTATTTGCTCTTATAAATATTGCAACAAAGAATTCACATATAGCCCTGGTAAGATTTGTACTAGAAGTTTGCTTATTCATTTGGATCATCAGTGCAGAAAATATCTCTATGGAAAAGTGATGGAAGATAAAAAGGGAAAAAATTTGTGTTCTGAACCAAACGTTAGTGGGGAGGGTGGAACTTTAACCTCTGTTGTTGCTTTTAACCAGGAATTGGGTAAATAAGCCATTGCTAAGATGATAATTATTGATGGCCTTCCCTTTACATTTGTTGAGAATAAGGGATTTCAGTTGTTTTGTTCCATGGTCCAACGTAACTTAGTGTTACCTTCACATACTCAAGTTGTAAGAGATGTCCTTCATTTGTATTTGGAAGAGAAGCAAAAATTGAAAAATTTGTTTGGTAATTTGTCACAACAAGTTAGTCTCACTGTAGATACATGACGTCAATTCAAAACATCAATTACGTGGTTTTAGCTGCACATTACATTGATGATAATTGGAATTTGCGCAAGAAAATTCTGAACTTTGAAGTTATTTTTAATCACAAGGGAAACACCATTGGAAAAATGATCGAGTACTGTTTGTTTGCATGGGATATTAAAAGGGTTTTCACCATTACTGTGGATAATGCACGCTCGAATGATACATCTCTTCCCTACATTAAAAGGAAAATTCAAAACTGGGGGGAGTCGGTTTTAGAATGTGAATTTTTACACATGCGCTGTTATGCTCATATATTGAACTTGATTGTGGGTGAAGGTTTGAAAGATTGTGATAGTTCCATCCAAGTGATTAGAAACACTGTGAGATATGTTCAATCTTCGCCTTCTAGGTTAAGCAAATTTAATTATTTTATGAACCTAGAAAGGTTGGATGGTGGAGATGTTTATTTAGATGTTCCTTCAAGATGGAACTCTACTCTCTTTATGTTGGAGTCGGCTTTGAAACTTAGAGTTGTATTTGAACGGATGGAAGAAGATGATGGTCAATATACTCAATACTTTAATGAAGGTTCGAGCTTGATGCAAAAGATGAGAGATCCAAAAGTAAGTTGATATGAACAGAATCGGGCCACCTCTTAGTTATGATTGGGAGATGGCAGCGAACTTCGTGAAATTTCTTCGAATGTTTCATGATGTGGCAAAACAGTTTTTAGGATCATTATATGTTACTTCCAATAGTTACTTTCATGACATTGCTCGATGCATACTCTTATAACCGATTGGATGAAATATAGTGATGATAGCTTGCAAACCATGGCTCATAAAATGAAGGAAACATATGATAGATATTTGGGAAATGTGGAGAAGATGAATCCATTATTATTTGTGGCTGTGGTTCTTGATCCTCGTTTCAAGCTAGATTATGTTAATTGGAGCTTCGATGAATTATATGAGGGTGTGATCTTGCGACCAAGATGAAGGAAAAGGTCAATGATACTTTTAGTAAACTTTTTGAGCATTATAGTGCTAGAGATCCTCAAATTTCTAATAAAAGAGGTTCTCAACTGAATGAAATTATGGATGTAAGTGGGTGTCGTGGGAGCCTTGACTTGCGTGAGTACCTTTCGCGAAGATTCAAGGAATTTTTGGAAAGGAAACGAGAATATGAAAACAGTGAATTGCAGAGGTACTTGAAGGAAGAAAAAGAGAGTATGGATGGACTATTTGACTTGTTGGCTTGGTGGAAGATTAATTCCTCCAAATATAAGATCTTGTCACAGATTGCGAAGGATGTGTTGGCTATTCCTGTTTCTACAACTGCTTCAGAGTCAGTATTTTGTACAGAAGGTCAAATTTTAGATTGTTTTGTGAGTTCTCTTAGTCCCAAAACTATGCAAGCACTTATATGTGCACAAAGTTGGTTGTTGGATGAAACCACGAGAAAGAAAATTGTTGATTTACGGGATGCCTTGCAAGAGATTGAAGATCTTGAAAAAATTGAGAACGGTAAGATTTAAATCCTTTTTTACACATGGCTAAACTGTGTATTCTTATTGGTGCCAACAATATAACATTCTTTATCATTTCAGATTTTGCCGACAATCTAATTATTTGCGCGGATAGGATCGAATGATAAGCATGAGCTTGAAAAGGTAATATTTGTCTTTGTGATTGAATATGTCAATTTCTAGTTGAGTGAGAACAATTTCATTGGTGGAACTTCTTGTTGACACTAAGTGCAGTGGGTGTTATGTATACTCTTAAATGCAATGGTATCATCCTGTAGTTTCTG